CATAGCATATATACAAATGTATGTATTATTTACTTTAGTCTAGACTGTGAAGAAATCAAAAGCACTGTAGAAGAGAAAGAGTGATTGAATTGCAGCAAATGTATTTACCATAATGAGAGGCGTAGGCAATATCGTAAACATGCGGTCTTTTCCCTCCTCATATTCTCAGTACCAGCAAGCAAATCCACGACGGTATTCACAATATCTTCATCAGACGAAAAAGGAGATTGGGATGACCATCATCGTTGCCATTGCAGCACTGGGGCCCCCGATGATTGATACTATGGTTGAAATACTTGCTACGATGGGGTTAGTAACGAGGACTTCAAGTAGCATGCTTGTAATGATGTTTAATAGAGATCAAGAACACCATTAGGGCTGCACTGTAGTTCATACAGTGTGTGCACCTTTTTCTGACTCTGGTTAAATGTTTGGGGAGAGATGCAAAGGTTAGTTTCTTCAGGCTTGCAACGGCGGTTCGTGATGTGCGTTCATCTTGTACTCGGATGTGATAGCAAGTCATGATGGGTGTGACGGATAAAATAAAGAAGTCGAAGTAGTCAAGACGAAGTTGAAGAGAAAGGGTAGAGTCCTTGCATCTACAATTTAGAGATTCACTCATATATATGCCGCCATCTATTTTGTTTAGGGTCTACTCCATGGACTCTGTTGTAAAAGTCGACTAGGAACTACGCTTTTCGCTAGAATTTACAGTTCGCCAATGATTCCATCCACAGGTCTTTAATACGAACTAGCTAGATATTTCGACTGTCCAAGTCCTACATCATCCCCAGGTCCGCAGTAGCCTTTGTGTCTCTCCCTTTACCCCTAACTAGTGCTAGCAATCCTGGAAGCAGACCAACGGCGCCACCAACAATAGACTTGAAAGATCACCAACGGGGTGAGAATTCCTACCATGGTCCATAATGCGGCGTCACGTCCTGCGGAGGCGAGGACAATTACTAGAGAGTTAGCAAGGGAGTCCAGTCGCGTGTATATTATACCTTACAAGAGACCGAGAGAGGAAATGAGGCCAAATTGCAATTATCCAGTCGCTTGGACCATTTTTCGACCTCTGACGGAGTGAGATGCGAAGGGGTAACTTCTCCGGGGTCGTGGAGGATATTGTGGCCATCTTGTATTGGGTCTTGTATTGGGATGCGATCACAAGGCTGAGCCATGATACCGATGAAAAGTAGTTGCAGTTAAAGAGGAAGAATTTAGGAAGTTGAAGGGCGGACAGTCCAGAGAACCATGGATGTACTGTAGTCTACCTGTACTTCCCGCTCAGGCGTTTTTCACTAGATTCTACTCTTATCAAAGGTTATACATAGAAAAAGTTTTAAAACACAAAGTATTTGTTCTCGTCTTTTTCTGTCTACTTGGGAAGAAAATATCTTAGAAGACATCTATGTTGTAAACAGAATATCTGAGACTACTAAAAAAATTACACGAGGCCGCATACGCGGCCCTATACTCTTGTTGGAAAATACATCTGAAAAGGGATAGTAGTCCAATTCCTAGTATTATCCCTAGCTGGATATTCATATTATTTAAGCTCTACATCCGAGGTCAACGCACAGAAGCCAAGACTGTAGAAATATCCAAAGGATTACTTTGAAATTTAGTTATTGTACAATTCATAAATCCGGATATATAGCCGGACAGGTCGCGACTGGAAGCCAAATGCTCTCTGACTTTAACACAAGCGTCCAGATCGGGGATGCACATGGCATGTTTGAAAAAATGAATTTGACGCCCGCTGATCTTCATTAAAACATTAATACCTATCTTTATGCTTATTTGCCCAGCTCTCCAAGCACCAGGTTCCGATCGGAGGAACAAGAAACGACTATGACAATGTTAGCAAGGGGTTGCTTGCAAAGAGGGTATTATACTCACTGATTGGCTCATCATTGGGAGAGAAGCGCACGTCATTGACAGTACCCTTGTGACCGGGAAGCTTGTACAGCAATTTCCCAGTCTTGACATCCCAAACAACCACACTTCGGTCGCCACTGCCTGCAGCAATCTTCTCGCCCTTGGGATCCCAGCTGGCACGGATGAGGTTCTTCTCCAGTCCGACAGGAGCGCCATCGTAGGTCTTCACTTGCCGGTTGGTAGGGGCGAAGGGACGAATGTCCCATGTGCGAACAGTAGAGTCATGAGAGTTCGATAGCAAAGTCTGTGAGTCTGGCGAGATTTCTAGCGAGGTGATGGTATCTGTGTGTCCAGCCATGGAGTAGACTATGGCCTTCTTTCGAAGATCCCAGGCGTGGATTGTATTGTCAATACCTCCACTGTAGATTTCGTTACCCGCTTCGGACAATGCCACTGCGGTGATGGGGAGTTCGGTTTGGAGGTAATCCAGAGCATCCTTCTGCCGAGGATCCCAGATGCCAATACAGCCATCATCACTACCACTGACCAGAAGCTCTTGTCCTCTTTTGCTGATATCGAGGCAGTTGATGATTTCCTCGTGGCCCACGTGGCGGCGTACTCGTTCTCCGGTCTCGACATCCCAGCTTCCGAGGGTCATGTCTGCGGACGCGGAGAACAGCGCCCGCGAATCGCGTGACCACTGAATATCCAACACAGCTCCTCGGTGACCTGTCAATTGGCCGTAATTTTCACATTGTCCATATGTATTCCACAGTACTATTCAATAAATCTCGATCAGTAACATATTCGGCCGCATTCCCGGATAAAGACGAGACATACAAATGGAACGATCCATGGATCCAGATGCGATATGTTGCGCAGTAGGGTCAAATCGAACTGCAAAGACTTCACCAGAGTGACCTAGTAGATTCTTTCTATTAGCGCGTGTATAGCGACGAATTGGCGACAGTCTCACCTGTGAGCTCCATGATAGGAGCATCCAAACCACTTGTGCGAGGAACCTGTAGACTCAAATTAGCTGGCCGTATCCCGTGAAAGCCGCTTGAGCTTCGAGAGCAAGCCTGGCGCGTACAGATTGAATAAGAGCTCCATTTTGGGAGGAGCCCTTCACAAGTTCGGTTCCTGCGTTTTCGGCGGCCTTGTTCCGCTTGACCACGAGCTGGTGTGAGGTCCCAAAGCCCTCGGGAGCAGGGCGCTTTTCACCAGACATTGTCACAGCAAGCACCTCGGTGAATTTGGAGAAGTAAAAGAGTTGATTGGTGACCAATCGCGACTGAGGGCGAAAGTAGTGGAGAGCAAAAGTTCAGGGAAGCGGGAAGAACGATAATCCCACCTAGGCTCGGGCTCGGCGGTGAGCGGGCTGTGTCCGGTTGACGAAAGCGACCATCGAGACTTGATCGTATTGGGTTATTTTTGTTTGGCAGAAAATAATATGGTGGTTTACCCCACTCACCAACTACCACACCTTTTCTTTTTTTAATCAAATAGAGAGTTGGTAGATATATACCTAAATATCTTTGGAAGTATACAGAGATACACGTGTAGAGAGAGACAAGATGGAGCAATTTGTAGAGGAAGCTTGTATATGATATAAAATACATCTATACATATTAATTGAAAGGCGGAGAACAAGGCGGCAAATACAAACAACCAATAAAATCAAAGTCCAGCATGGTCGGTCTCGTCGGCCGTAGTACTGTGTACAATCAGCAACTCCAACGGACTCCCCACAATCACCCTGATCAACAGTTGACTGTCACATTTACCTGTACTTGTCTGGACGATATTCATTTTCCTGCTTTACCAACAATCACAACTATCCGAGCACAATCCCAAAGATGTCGTCCACGAAAGCCTCCAGAATAGGAGAAGAGTAAGTGGACTCCCAAGGCTGGATGCCTTATCCAGTGGATCTTCTACTAATCACTGGCCTTCGAACAGAATATGGAAGTCAGTAAGCCCCAGGACCCGGACCCGTCTACTGGGACCGGGAAGCGATTGCCAATTGACTTCGCTATACCTCCGTCCTCGAACCTGAACTAATCGGCTTTATTCACATGCGCAGAACAAGAGTCGATAAAGTCAACGCGGAGTTGGTCACATTAACCTACGGAACAATTGTCGCGCAATTATGCCAAGACTACGATAGCAACTACCAGGATGTCAACAAGCAGTTGGACAAGATGGGATACAATATCGGAATGCGACTCATTGAAGACTTCCTGGCCAAGTCAGGTGTCGGCCGATGCGCCAACTTCCGGGAGACAGCTGATATGATTGCGAAGGTGGGAGTCACCTCACATGGAGATAAAAAAGCTCTGATGGCTGACAACCCGATCAGGTTGGCTTTAAGATCTTCCTGAACGTCACACCTACAGTCACAAACTGGACGAGTGACAACACTCAGTTCTCTCTTATCTTTGAAGACAACCCCTTGGCAGACTTCGTGGAGCTTCCCGATGATGGGCGGGCTCAGGACGAACTATGGTTCTCCAATATTCTGTGTGGCGTCCTCCGAGGGTCCCTAGAGATGGTAAGTCACTAGTACCCCGGTCAATCAGATTGGATTCCCTTGTTCTGAGTCCGATCACTGACCCGGCTTTTTATATATATTTAGGTTCAAATGCAGATCGAGGCACACTTTGTCAGTGATGTGCTGCGCGGAGATGATACCACAGAGATGAGGGTCTCCCTTGTACGATACATTGAGGATGAGATGCCACCCGAGGAAGAGTAATGATCCGAGATGTGCATCTACACTATTTGAAGAATGGGCGTTCTGGGGTTCCTCATTGGTTTCTTTTAAAGGGGATGGATTGCCCTTATTATTGCTTCCGATCATCACTCTATTTTGTACACCTGTCTTTTTATTTTATTTTAAATTAGGCTTTATGATGTATCCTCCCACGCGTTTTATCACTAGCATATAGGGGTTCAATACATAAGAATTCATTTGATCTATACAATGTAAGAGAAATTAGGGCAAGTTACGATCAGTCCATAGAAATTGCATGATCTCCCTATTTTCCTTTTTTATACGTGTAGATCCTCGGCCAATCTGCCGTTCAGGAGCTTGATCTGTATGGTCATAACCAAACATGTATTGTAAGGTAAACCTGCAGTTCGGTCAAGTATATATAGTTCCTGGGCACACAGTAAACAGCGGTCAACGGAACATCCGAGTTAATGTATTTGTGAAGTACTGTATGTCACAAACACAAAACCATACCCGTTCTGTACCACTATCTCCGGCCCCTCAACTCTTTACAGATCGAATTTCCCTCCTTTCCATCTTTTTTTCTCAACCTCAACCTAAGCAGAACTTTTCCACATTGATTCTTCTTGCAATTTGTTCAATTCTTCTAGATCGATTCATCTTCGGTATATTCAACCTTCGTGGTGGTCGTGAAATAGTGGCTTACTCTACTTTTTAGACTCCCGCTGGGATCCATCGTAGGGCCCATCAGGTATCATATCACCCCTTCTGACTTTCCCTGCCCTCTAATTTTTCTATTCAAACCACCATATTTTCACATGTATCCTTCATTTCTTTCTCGCTAATTCTCTGGCTCCTCTTTCTCTTTTGTTGCAGACCGCAAATTCAATGGTTATCAGATCGGTGCATTCCCAGAAATACGCTTGACAGCGCCATCCCCAGCCCCGACCTCCGACCAGGTTGATCCGCTCCGAACAAGCGATTCTCCCGCAGAGCGCAGCGCCTGTCGCTGTACGTCCCCCCCGGCTCTCTCTCACTGATTCCGTCCTCCTCTTCCCACTGTGAGATCCACATTTCTTAGACTTCCCTTTTCTATTCTTAATCTGTTCTATTTTTCCATTTCTTGTCCTTGGGTTTCTTTTTCTTTGTATACGGGCTTGGTGCTCTCCTGTCCGCGATTCTGCCCGATCGGGTGTCTGGCGCCGCCCCCCCCAATACCAACCACCTCACTTGTGCGCTTTTTCCGCCTCCTTGTACCTTCGTCATCGCCCACCCCATATAGACTGCGCACTTGCTCCTATACTTGGCCATTTGAAGTGTTTAATTCTCTAGCAAACGCTCACCAATTTCTCCAGTCAGAGACACCGAGCATACTTCGTCTGCGCCTCCGAGCCTCCATCCTCTCGTTTCTACCCCGTCGCGTGGTTTCTCCGGAAACAGACGCCACTGGTGATCCTGAACCTCCTCTTATTTCGCGATCATATACCCGTTTGATTTGCGCTGTTACGCACACGCGTTGCTCAGCCTGCGAGCCTTCGATATTCGAAAGCGCTGACCGCTTTCCCTCCGCATCCATTCCCACGCGTCGCTTCTATCACCCCGCGTTAGGCTTGATAGCCTGAAACGGAGGTCGCGCGTCGGAAGCTTGATATATCCGATTTGAAAATCTCACGATACCACAGGCAAGGGTGGCTGCAGTTCCACCGTTCGCCACCATGAACCAAATGAATGTCGGGATGAACCCCGGGGCCGGGGGCCCCGTGGGCGGAGTTCCTATGATCAACAACGGATCCACGGCTTCTCGTAACGACGGCGCTATGAACAACCCCGAAATCATGATCAACAACCTCAACACGTATATCTATGATTACTTTCTGAAGCGTGGGTACCATGACTGCGCCCGCGCTCTCTTGCAAGATGAATCCATCAAACTCAACACCGACAACAATCCCAAGACGAGTCCCGGAAATCGGCGTGATGGCGATATCAATGGTATGGACCCTGATGCTATGATGACCGATGGGAAGGATGGCGAAAAGATCAAGATCCCAGATGATCTCCCTCGCCCAAATATTCCCAATGAAAGCCCCTCGTCATTCCTCCTCGATTGGTTCAGTCTTTTCTGGGAATTCTTCTGGGCTCAACGCAAGAAGGGAAATAGCAATGATATCAGGCAATATCTTCAGCACAACCAGGTGCGTGAACGATCATCTTCATCGAGGATATGGACCACGGACTAATCCTGAACTCTAGAACTTCATGCGTTTGCGAGAACAGCAGCACAATCAATTTATGAGGCAGCAACCCATGATGCCCGGCCAGATGAACCAGCTCCGGAGACAGAATGGTGGCATGGTGCCTCCTAACCTGCAGAAAACAGTGCTGCAAAACAACACCACTGGACTGTATGCTCTATCTGAATATCTTCTTCCCCATGCGGAGTGTTGAGTTGGGGGTGGACGTGCTGATGAGATTTTTTTGATAGCTCCCAACAACAACAACAAATGGCGCAGTATCAAAAGACCCAGCAATTGCAAATGATGCAGCAAATGCAACGGGATCCGGACATGGAGATGGGTGGGCATCGACCACAGTCACCAGCGTCTGCCGACAACGCCCCCTCGCCGTCGAAACGCCCTCGTCTCGAAGGCGCTGTCAACGGACAGCAGCTGGCACCGAATGGCCGTGTACAGGGACAAGGAATGCCTGGACAGCCCAACCAGCAGGCCATAATGATGCAGAATGGAATGCAGAGGGGAATGACTCCGGCTCAATTCCAGCAGTTCCAGGGACAAGCTGCGCAACAGAAATCTATGCAGGTATATGCTCAAAACTTGGCCCTTCATCACTCTCGCTCAGCATCGAATTCCCAGGGTATCCCAAATGGTGGCATGATGAATCCCGGTGTTATGGCGAATCAGGCGGATCTGGTGCCGATGCCGGATGGCCAAGGCATGTATCCCATGGCCGGTGGTCCTGAGTACTACGGTGCGAACGGTCAACTCGCCCAGGTCCGACCCGGTAGTTTACAGACACCTGGCGGTCAGCATGGTAACCATGCTCTCCAAGATTATCAGATGCAGCTTATGCTGCTTGAACAGCAGAATAAGCGGCGCTTGATGATGGCTCGTCAAGAGCAGGATAGCATGGCCCGTGCTGACGGCCAGCCCCCAATGCCCGGCCAGGGAGTTTTGCCACCAGGCACTTCCCCGGGCAGCAGGGCGGGTGCTTCTCCCAATCCTAGCGACCAAATGAAACGAGGCACGCCTAAAATGCCTCCGACTGGACTCCCCGGGTCGCCAAGCGCCGGCGACATGTCCCAACGTGGATCACCCGGATCCATGAACCTCAACGGTGGTCCGATCCCCCCGGAGATGGCGGCTCAGTACTTCTCTGGACCGAATATGCGACCTCCTAGCTCTAATCCTGCCTTCACTGCAGCTCAAATGGGCCAGCCGATTCCGGCCAATGCCGGCCAGCGTATGCCTAGCGGACAATGGCAGCCAGGACAACCGCAGATGCCTCCGCAGCATTCACCTGCAAACCAGCCCCAGGCTGGAACCCCGCAGGAACGAAGCGCGATGCCTCCGCCCTCGGCGCCACCCGTCACGGGTCCTAACGCTGGTCGTGGTCAACCGGCCTCACCTCAAACGGCCGGCAATGCGCCACCAACGCCTCAGCAGGCTACCAAAGCTGCACCAAAGGGGAAGAAGGACACTAAGGACACCCGCAAGGTTTGTATACTCTCAAGTGCTACTGTGATTTTTGTATCCGCTAACTTGAATTCAAGCGACCCAACAAGAAGCAAGCTGCTGCTGCTGCCGCCAATGCGGCCGCAGGCGTGACTCCATCCACCGAAGCCGCAGAGCCGCCGACCCCATCGACTCCCGTCACGCCGCAACATCCTAGCTCTTTCAGTAACAAGAATGGAGCGAACGGGCCAGCTCAACCGGGACAGCCGACCTCGGCACCTGCTCCTCAGAGCATGGTGCAGCCACCCCCTGACCAACAGCAATCCTTCACTGACCTCAGCATTCCTGATGTATGTTCTATACTCTTCCATCCCTGCGTCTCCAAGAGTATGCATTTACTGACTCTTATCAAAGGCTTCCGCATTCAACCTCGACTTCAGCGCACTGGAAAATCCAGACATTCTGGAGAACTTTGACTTTGACACATTCCTCAACACGGATGCCGACGCCACTGGATTTGGGTTTGATCCCAGCATATCCTATTCGGCCGATGGTGTTGAGACCAGTGCCGGTGACACCCTATGAACGTGTAAAAGTCTTAACGGTCCTTCAGGTGCTTCACCTCCGATATACCCTTGTTTGTACATTTGATCATTGCTCTAGTGCGTTTTCGCGGATACTCGACCTGTTCTGTTTTCTTCTTGTCTCCCAATTACCTGGATATGTGTGTTCTGCGCGTGTGCTGTGAGATTGGCGTTGGTGTACCTTGTTCATCGCATCCTCTCCCTCCCCTTGCTCGTCCTTGGAAGCCGGCATCCTCCAACTGATACCAGGAGACTGCTTGGACTGACCAGGGCGCTTCTGTATTCGAGATTAGTGCACTGTGACCTACGAGTTTTCTTGGCTTCTCTTCCTTTCTTTCTATTATTACTATTATTACTTGTGGATGTGGTTACTTAATTCCTTGCTTTGCCTTGTCTGTACGGGGCAACGTTGATACTCTCAGTATGAAGTCCAGTTCCCTACGGCTGATCCAGTGCACTTTCATCCTTTCATTTCCCAACGATTTCCTTTTTTTTGTCCATCTCTCTTTTGATCCATCTCGAACAACCTTCCAACAAATGCCGGCCGTTTCTTTTATTTCTTGCTTTTTTTCTCGCTTTTGCTACCAGTATCACTGGTAGTGGATCCTTTCTCTCTACTTCTACCATCCAGGCCATATAGCCTGTGGTTTTCTTCTCTTTTCTCTTTTCTTTTTCTTCTCTTCACTTTGCCTGTACTCTCGGATCAGACCTGGATACCCCGATCAGCCTGTGTCACTGAAATCGGACACTGACCCGAGGGAAATGGGACTGGCACAAAAAGGAACTCAAAAGAACCAGGAGTTTCGTGACTCTATGTGTTGATGGGATGTGACCGGATTTATTGGATTTGGATATTCCCCTAGCAGATTCCAGGAGTTTCGATGTCGTTACGGTTATGCGTTTCATGTTATTTTGGTCACAAAATATGGATCCGAATTCATATATGGACAGTTTTCTCGGTCCAGTTTTCAGTTTCAAGTGGGAGTGTAGACAACCCATGACAGTATATAAGTCAAATTTCGGAGCTTGGCTTTTGCAAAGGCACAACCATCTACCTAAAAAGCCGACTGTAAAAGACATCTCAAAATATCTGAGAATACCACCGAGAACATTTCTAGAAAGACTATCATAAAAGCTACCAAAAAACCGCATAAGTGGCCGACTATTCTTGTACTCAGGAAAAAATGTCCAATACAAGCATATACAAGCATTACACGAAAACTGTTGCTCGTAGATATCAGTTAGCAAAGGAAAACCCTTTAATTTTCGGTTATTTCGAAATTGGACCAGTTCCACAGAACTTCTATAAGAATAGATGTTACAAAAGAAGAGCAAAGGAAAATGTAATCGAATTTCATACTATGTAAAGCCAGGGGGCTGTCCCCAGCAAAGGTTCAAAGATTCAAGAGACAGTTCTGTCTCAGCGAGCTTCGAAAATGAATCAAGCTTTTGGAAATTCCCTCAGAGTTCTCTTCATGGGACAAGCTAAAAGAAAGGGTTACCAGAGCGTTGTCTCTGGTGGAAAAGTTCCGAAAATTTGGAGTTTGATGGCGCCTGTGGGCCACCCAAGGATTTCAAGAATCCATGCTTATCCCCAATTTATCCTCCGCCTCCCATCTCGGTGAACGATTCGTCAGTAACCCCGGTGGGCGACCGTCCTATATCCTCCCCCTGTCTGCCTCCTCCTCCTCCTCCTCCTCTGGGACGAGGCCACGCCGGGTCTCAGATAGCCCATCCTTCACCTCCCCAAAGACGTGAATACTCTTCACTGGGTACCCCACTCCCCTGGAACGAGGCCACAGTGGGTCTCAGATAGCCCATCATCCACTTCCCCAGAGACGTGATACGCTTGCGCGCAGTCAGACGTCAAGAATGCCCTCAGAATAATCTTCACTGGGCAACGCACTCATCTGGGACGAGGCCACAGCGGGTCTCAGATAGCCCAGGCTTCGACGTGATACGCTTGCGCGCAGTCAGACGTCAAATAATGCCCTCATAATGCTCTTCACGGGGCAGGATTGGTTGACGGGTACACCTGTGACAGGAGCAATATCAGCCATATGTTGTCCATATCATGAGTACACAGGACTTACCAATGATTCTTTGGGTGACATGAAGAGACACATAGCCCTGTCAGAGCATGCAAACATCAGCGTTGGAATGTGTGATCAGTGGGAGCACCCAAGACAGGAATCCCACAGTGAATATGTGCCCGTGAGGGTTGTATCAGAAGCTGTCTCCAACCAAAGGCTGAAAGACCGAGACGAGTGTACCTGGTGGCCAGAGGTGTCAGTGAGTTGTCATCTCATGTGAATAAGGGACGTACTGTATGCACTGCAAATAGACTGATGCTCACACAAGTCCTGTGCCTGGAGAAGACGACAGAGGCAAACATTAGCAAACTACAGCATGATCAGGGAAAGTCTCCGTTACCGCGAACATCATGAGGGTCACAGGTGGGAGAAAACAGTGAGACACCCATGTCTCGATCTTCATGGGAGTGGTACGTTGTCACATGGCTAGCAGAGAAGAATGAAATATACAAAGGGAACAAACAAAAAGTGTCACAGGATGGAGGACGGAGAAAGATGATGATGATGATGATGATGATGATGATGATGGAGGATGGAGGATGGAGGAAGAGGATGGAGGGGAGGGATAGAAGAGAGATGTAAGAGGGAAGAAGAAAAAGAAGAGAAGAAAGAAGAAGAAGAAGGGTATTTATATGGCCCCTTCCCGATTAGGAAAAGTAGCATTTGCTATGGCCGACACCTAATAGGGTGGGTGACGAGATTTCGACAGTCCAATTTAGATCTTAACCTGTAAGCTGTCAACTCTACAAATCCAGCATACCGACCCCATAGAGTAAAAACCTGTCGAACTCAGAGAGTAAAAAGTGCATTGATTGAAGCTCACATAAAAGATACATGCCAGCTTCATATCAAGCCTGAAAACAAGTGAATGAGGCAGGTAAGTATAAGTTGAAAAGCGTGATCATGACCACTTCGGTCCTACAAATCCGACTCATTCTCGTCCTGCACATTTTCGACGTCCTTCGAGTTGCAGTTTTCCTTCGCAGTGTCCCTACCCCTAGACTTCGCTTTGGGGGTCTCCTGGTTGGCGTCTTTCTGATTCTCCTTTTTGCTCCGGACCTTGTCGCTAGGACTCGCGCCAAGTTTGGATGGAGTCAAGTTCTTGGGCTCGCTCGATCCCGAAACATCGCGGGTGCTTGGTTGTGATATCTCCCTGAGTGCGGACGAACGGCGGTTCCGAGACTTGTAGCTTGCAGATCGAGCTTCGGCTGCAGCAGAAGGCTTTGGGACAGATATCGCGGTGGCAGCAGTGGAGGGAGTATTAGAGGGTGCACGAGTACCCACTGGAGGCGCCTTCGTTGGAGTCAGAGCTTGTATCAGCTCATTGTATTGCTCATCATCAAGGCAGGAATTGATGCTGGGCTGCTTGCTATGCTCGTAGCTCATACCAGTCACGCTGGAGATGGCCCGGCTACTGGTGGTCGATCCCGTAGAAACATAATCGGGCATGGGGACGTCCTCGCGAGAGGATCGAGCACCACGCTGCCGCCATGCGGTATCATCAATGAAGGCATCCATGCCAGGTTCCACGATGTATGTATCCTGTGGCTCCCATCGAGGCTCTTGTGAATAGCCGTTCCACTGTGTAGAAGGGATGGGAAACCCACGGTGAGGGGTCCAGGCATTGTAAGTCGATGGGGTGCTACCGCTGTAAGTAGCGGCATTGCTGCTGGATTGGCTACTCGTATTAGCCGTAACTGCAATTCGATGTTCTGGTCTGTCAGGTTTGCTTGGTGAATGTCCATGGGCGCCATCGCCAACTACCTTGGAGGTACCATATCTCGCTGCCGATCCGTACCGGGATCCATTGGGCACAGAAAGCCACATGTTGGGACTGGGCCAAGAAATGTCGGAAAATTCCAGCACATCTAGTGGTGCATGTTGAAAGGAGAAAACAATAACATGCTTGTATCGTTCGAAGGGAGGCGTGCGATTGGGGCGAGAGAAACCTTCTGCAATGACAACCTTGATTCTACCTTGAGAGTCTCCGGCATCCCAATGCTTCTGCTGTAGTATCTCAGAATGAAATGGAGGGAATCGAAGTGTGTCTTGGTTTCCATCTCGGTCAAGACCTGCCTGGTGTGAGAATCTGGAATCAAAGAAAAAGAAGGAAAGTCATACTGGAACTCAGATCTACCAAATGAATGTCAGCAGCAATTCAACAATAAACAAGGCAAGAGAGTGAGAAAGAGAATTTTTGCAAGGGCGTTATGCCGGTGTAAGTGCGTACAACATACCCATGATCTGTGGCCAACTGGTTCTCTGTCCATAGATGCTACCCCTACAAGGCATCAGCTCAATCCAACGACCGGAGTGCATAAAACGTAAGTTACTCACGTAACAAAGACCCCGTCAATGAAGAGCCGCACCTCGAAGAGTAAAACGTCCTCTGGCTCCATGTTGGACTCGATCTGCATACTGGGGCGTGGTTTTTCCCAACTATGAACTGAGACTTGGAATGGACTGTCTCTGGGCAGACTTGGGATGAATGTTGTGAGAACGGGCAGCTGGTTGAAGGCACCTTGCTCGGGAAGGTGTGTATGAGGGCCAAGGAAGGCTGCATTGTGTAAATAGGGCGAGTGTTTATCCTTGGTCACAAAGCATTGTGTCTTGAACTCTTGGATAGGAACCTTTGAGCCTCCAGGAAAGAGAAGGACATCCCAGTTTCTGTACCGCATGATGGGAAGCTAGGTATAAAGAGGATGAATAGATTTCTCATGTCGAAGTTGCTGTATACATAGACAATGGAAGTAACCTCGAACATCGCTGTTTCCCAAAGTGGTAACATCGATAATGGTAGGCGGTATAGTATTTGCAGTGAGATATCGGAGGCGGTATAGACATATATCACTTGTCAATCTTAGCCTTAAGAACAGCACTTGATCTACAATGAGCATAACAGAACCACATTAAGCTGAGCCGTACCAGATAAATTCCACCTAGGAATGAAGGAATTTACAATTATCTAGAATAATTGTCTCAGAATCAGGTCAAGTTCAGAGTCCAGCCCTAACCGCAGAATACCCCTCAAAATATCAAGACAGTAGACAGTAATACAGCAAGACATCAACCCAGAGGACAACTACCAGAGCAACCAGATATGCTCGAGTCCATCGCAACCTCCACCTATGGGACCAGCCACAGGGGCGATGTTTATATAGGTAGAAGATCCAGAAGCAAAGGGCCGACAATACAATACCAGGAAAATGGAGAGCTTGACGGCAGTAGTGCGATGCAAACACCAAACGAGCGTACAGGACATTATGGCATACGATCAAAGGAATTTAGAATCGACAAACGCTGAGGCGCACGAAACAAGCGTGTTGTACAAGCCGGCAATCAGTCTTAACAGAGAAACAAGGGTAAAAAAAAGCACGCAAAAATTCTCAAAGCGAACATAATTCAATTTAGCTGCTTGAAGAAAAGAAAAAAAAAAGGGAAACAAAGGAAATAAGGTGGTAACGTGGGGGGAAATGGAACTTTTCGCAGAATGCCTGCCCAAGGAGTATAAGGGAAAAAGAAGCGCATGACAATTCGGACTTCCATTACACGCAGACAAAGACCCAGTGGCGGGGGAAACCCGATAGCATAAGGGCAGAGAGACATCGAAAATAAGATAACGAAAAAAATAATAAAATACGAAAGGGCGCAAAGGAGGAGAGAGAGAGAGAGAGAGAGTAAACGGAGGGGGATAAAAAAAAAGGGAAAGATACATAAGAACAAGACAGATCAGAAAGGGGAGAAAGCTCAGATCTTGCTAAGGTAATAGCGCTCACGTAAAAAGGAAATGCGTAGCACAGGAGACAAATGCTCATCAAGAGCTATAGCCTTGGCCAGAAAACCAGGGGAACGAATTTGTTATGACACAATAGAATCATCATTGAAATGACACAAATAACTCCTGCTGGTGCTTTCAATCAAAGGGAAACGCTTACTGGAAGAGTGTGTCAGCCGACCGCCTGCTTCACATTTGATCCGGGATCGGGCTGCCAGGGTGATCGCTCACCTTCATGGGGGCAAACCCGCCATACTGGTGGGCTGGGGGCATGCCCATGGAGGGGTACATGGGAGGCGGCGGGGGAGCAGGGCGGTAGGGGCTGCCGGCGGGGCCGGAGTTGTTCTGGGAGCGGCCCCAGCTCAGGCGCACGCGGGAGTTACCGATGGGGTAGCCCTGCATCTGGTTGATGGCCATCTCAGCGGCGTGGCGCTGGACGAACTGGACGAAACCACAGCCCTTTCCAGGGGGGATCTTGACGTAGGTGATTTCTCCGAATCCCTGGAAGAAGGAGCGGAGCTCATCCTCGGTGACGTAGCCGGACAGACCACCGACGAAGACAGTGGTGTTGTTGGGGTCTGTAAACTGGTTCATGGGCTGGGGAGCACCGTAGAAGGGCATGGGAGGGCCACCCATGGGAGGGTACATGCCAGCGGGACCGGGCATACCCATGGCAGCACCACCGTTACCACCAACACCGGGACCCTTGTTCTTGGGGGTAGCGGTGGAGATGCGCATGGGGCGGTTGCCACAGTAGACACCCTGCATCTCAGTGAGAGCACGCTGCTGGTCGTTCTCGTCGGAGAAGCGAACGAAGCCGTAGCCGCGGGACATGCCGCTGATGGGATCGGTCATGATCTTGGCAGACTTGCAAGAGGGGAAGCGGCTCTGGAAGAGGGAAACGAGGACGTATTCGTTCACCTCGGGACCGAGGTCACCAACGAAGATGGAGTACTCGGGGCCACGGTCATCACGGCTGGGACGGAGTCAGTTATAGGGCCGGGAGGGACACATGATGAGATGCTCGCTTACCTGCGATCAGCCAGACCGCCGCCGGTAGCCCAGTTGAGCTTGAAGACCCGGTTGGTGTTGGGCATAGGGGTGCCATTCAGGGAAAGGGCCTTGGCAGCGGCAGCAGGGGAAGCGAAGTCGACGAAGCAGTATCCAGCATTGCTCCTACTACCCACATTAGAAACAATTTTGTGAATATAAATGATCTTTACGGTGTCTTACCCAGAGAACTTGTCACGGATCATCTTGACGTTGACCTGCTCACCCATCTGGAACCAAAGGTTGCGGATGAAGTTCTCATCGATCCAGGGCTCGAGCTCACCCATCCAGAGGGTGGTTTTGCCATCGGCACCCTGCTGGGGGACGGGAGCCGAGTTGGGCTCACCAGAAGGGGGGCCCTGGAACTGAGCGGCGGAGGGGTCAACCTGGCCGGTCATGTTGGTGTCAACAGGAGCCGGGGCGCCAGTGGCGGCGGGGTCCTGCTGAGGGAAGTTTTCGTAGCCGTTGTTGTAAGACATGGTTGCAAGAATCAAAGTCCGGAAAGTCGACGTAAGAATATAAGATGGCTGAGCGACTAGAACTTCGTGGAGTCGTTAAAGAAAGACCGGCGTAAGATCAAGTCGTAACGAAGCCAAGCAAAGAGGCGTGAAAGGCTGCTCAAAAGATATAAAGTTAGATTATATCAATTTTCACTTAAATTGAAGAAGATCTGGACATGCGCAAAGAAAATGAAGTGAGAAATGAAAAGCAAACAAAGCAATCCATGCAAGTGAAGAAAAAAGCGATGCGGAAGAGGAAAAAAAAAAGAAAAGGCGGGTAGTCAGCATTTTGCAGGTGATTTCTTCAGGCGCATATATGATTTCTGGAGCCTCATAAAAAAAAAGTGTTGCCGGAAATCGCCAAGACCAGTGCTTCGGGCAGCATCTCATTTCAAATGTAGATTGGAGGGTGGATTGGCCGAAGACGAACAGTCAAGAGGGCGAAAATCGGATGCGCGAGACGAAAATAGACTTGTTTCCACTCGGATGCTAGGCGATCATGCTTCGACCGTTTCCGTCATTCCGGTTTGATGTCCGAATGCGACCGTCCACCCTCTCTTAATCCAGCACCATTTTCGGGCAATTCAGGCATCCAGATCTGACCGATTCCTCATATTGTCGATGATTTTTGAGGTTGAGATACGTGCGACCGGTAGATAATCGACTGTCCCGAAGCGCTGGTCAAGGCGAAAGCGTTGAAACATCGAATCGTCATATTTAAAAACAATGGAGAGCCCTGCAAAGAAGCTTGCGATATAGGGCTAATTTGCGCTTGCGCCAGGTAGGAGGGTTTTGAAAGAGGCTTATAACTCACCTAGAGGAAAACCTGAGAAACTGGAAATGCGCGAGGCAAAAAAAAGAGTCGGCAACAAGGGAGGAAAAGCAGAACTCCCGACTAAACAGAAAATTGAAATCTTCGAACAATAAGAAAAGGGAGGGGAAGGTTGGAGGGGAGAAAAGAAGAAAATGAAGAATTGGAAATCTCGCGAGATGAAGAGAGAGGGGAAGTGGGAAACGCATTACGTGAGTCGATGTATGGTATGTGTATTACAAGGTATGGTATGTTTTAACTATTACATATGTAGGATATAATATGTACGGAGTAGAATAGATATAAAAGTCTGAGATATAACATCTAATACACTTTAATAGTACATGCCTTGCCTCAATCAGAATTCCTTTACCTGAAGCAGGTACCAACGTCTATAAACCTACATATTACTTATAATATCCAGTCCCCAGATTCCTGTCAATGCTGCATGATATCAATCATGCGGGGGGCTTGTTAGATTCTTCATCGTTCCAGGATCCCGGGAAACCGGGATAATTGAAGTTGATACATCATAGCCTATGACCCGAGGTCTATATCCAAAGTTGCCGATCAACCCTAGCCTTTTTTTAGGAGTCCGCTCTTCCGCCTGTATTTTAAGATAGCAAGCATGTAGAAAGAAAAGAATAAAAAACAGATTTAAACAAAATCTTAGCAAATTTCAGTGAAAGAACAAGGGGCAAGAAGCCCCAATGCATGAAATCTGCAAGGACCAGTGGCCATCCTCGCAATGTGACTTGTCAAACCCCGTGGGCCTCTCCCGGTCATCGTCATATGCTGAGGTAATCTTTTTTTTTTTTTTTTTCCTAACCTACAGCATCAGGTACCTGTTGGGTACATATTCACATATTTGGGTGAATCTGATATCTCATATTATATATGAAACTAATACTAAGAATTAGATACAATATATCTATACAATATATACAATATATACTGGATATACTGGATATACTGGATATACTGGATATACATTCTTCCGTATAAGCAGAAACTTGCTGAGAAAACAGAACCATGGAACCATCAGCCCCATACGGTAATTCTCTTTCCATACAAGCTCACCCAGATACCCTACAGCCCTAAAAGCTATCTAATCTGTATAGAGCTCTTCTCAAAGCAAGGTTCTTTAATCCATGTAGGCTAAGCTGCAAGGACTTCAAATCCCTTCGTATTCCCGTTAGCCGCGCACGTCCGAATACCCAACTTCAAAAGGCTCCATCAGAACCATGGAAGGCTTCTTATGCGGAGTTCTGTTCTTATTGGCCGGACTTGGGGGGCCGCTCGTATTATCATTACCCAGCAGAGATTTTCCTTTCACTTTACGCGGTACGCGTTTTTATGTTCTCTTGACATTTGTATGTTTATTTTATATGGAAGGGGTGCAAGGGATGGGATGTTAGGTTTCAGATCTAATGATAAGCTAATCCAACCCTTGCATGATGAGGGAATGGGTCTTGTACTCCGTACTTTCTTAAGGTATAGCCCTAAACAATTAACCTATGTGGACTGCTTTAACATCTTATATCTATGTTGAATATAGCTTTCTAGCATATAATCAAACTTATATTCCAATCCAAATACTCAAATACACGAACCATGGAAACAAAACACTTCGTCTCTCATCGGAAATATTATCCAAAGCACATAGAAGACACATATATACCATCCTATCAGAACACACTTGCTTTACTTTCACGTGGGAAAAAAACAAGTCAAAGCATAATCAAGTATACCAAAGCAGATCGCACTAAATTCTACCCCTCGGACATCCTACTGGCCATTGCAGCCCCCCCGAGCTGCGCAGCCCCAGGCTAGCTGGACCCGATGGCCCCCACTTTCAGGGCTCACATCCACTTAGTTCACTCAGTTATAGCCAAAGAGAGTGTCAGCCCTGGCTGTGACTGATACCTGAATTCAACGTACGAGAACGCTTACTGTATACTTCATTACTTGATTCAGTTACAATATTCACTTTTTTTTGCCTGCACCCCACCAGCTCTTTTTTTTTTTCCCGGTCCAGATTTTTTTAAATTAATATGAGCTAGAAGTTTCTAGAAGAAATATTTAGATCCATACATATCTACTTATGTATAGATGTAATGCAAATTTGGAGTGGGACTTTGCTTTCTCCAGAACTATGTCATTTTTGTGTGTGGCCTGAGCGTTCGTATATATTGTACTGAGCACCGACGTAATAGCGATCTGTTCTAAAAATATCCTTCAACATTTATTTAATAGGCATACTCCGTGGGAGCCGCATAGGCACACATACGTCAGGCAACAGGAATAATACTAGTTACAAACAGTTAAACTCATCCATTTCCCCTTCCACATCAGGATCTTGTTCCGCAAGTAACATGAGACTTTTCTCGTAAACCCGCGTAGCTTCTAACATCCACGGCTCATCGACCTCATCCCCACTATCCTCATCCTCATCACCATCCCCATATCCATAATCATTACCATGCCCATTAGAAACAGTAGCAGCATTAACTCTCTCATTCGACTTGGCCAAACAAGAAAAAACTTGATATCTAGTCCTCTCCGCCAAACTCCGGATCCGCACTTTCTGCGTCTCCGTTGCAAGAGACTGGCCCGGCTGTACGCCGGGTAGAACGGCGCCGGTGAGTGGATGCGTGCCTGTACACAGCGCCGCGAAGACGCAGTCAAACTTGTGGAGGATGTTTAGGGTTGGTGGGGCATCGAAAGGGAAGGCTGGGAGGGAGGTTTGGGTTAGACCTGCTAGGGTTATGAGGGCTTCGGTTTGGATTGACGCTGGATGGAGTTAGTTGAATGTAGGATAGATAAGGAGATGATGAAGAAAAAAAGAAAAGAAGATAATAAAGATAGTATATCGCAATACATAATCCTCACTTCTACAACATGCATGTATAAAATATGAAACTCACGTGTTGCCGACGCCCAAAGCGTATCAATAAGACCCTCCACCTCTGCAGCGAGCTCTTTGAAGCTCTCATACCTGCGTTCCGAAACGGGTGTATCCGGTGCATCCATGCCCATGTCGGATTTCATTTTGCGGTACGTGACTCTCTCTATTCCGGTGCTGATTTGGCCTCGGAGTTGGATTTCTTCCTCGGAGCCGGAGGAGATAGGTTGGCTTCGCTGTTGCGGGAGTGATAGAGTTGGGCTCCATTGTGGTGGTCGTGAGGGGATGGTTATCGGGATTCCTGTGTCTTCCCTGTTCCTGGGTCTGCTTGGGAGGGAGATTGGGACATCTTCGAACTCGACATCGGAGTCGGAGTCGGTGTCTTGATCATTTTGGATTGAGGCGGGGGGCATCTTGGGGTTTTTGTTGCTGTCTTTGTATAGATAGAATGGGTCGGGTCCAATGATCAAAATGCTTAGTCTTGATGAGGGTTTGATATAAAAGAGGAGCAAAAGAAGGTCTGAACATGTGCTGTATGCCAGTAAGAGATATGGCTGTTCTTCCAAGATATATCGTGTCAAGCTTTTGCCTCAGGCGTGCTTGGAGAATGCGATTTAGCCGAGAGTAATATCACATGATACAGCCAACCGTAACAACAGGTCTCTGATCTTTTCAAATTGTCTTATACTTTGACGGAGCTATCATCCCAATCCATAGTAAGAAGTGCCGTTTCTCCAGAGGTGGGATGTGACGCCAAGCGTTGGTCTGTGCGGGAGATCCGGAATTAGAGGCTACGGCCATCCATGATATGGGCTGAAGTACATGTATATATATATATAATTGGATCATAAACTATTGATATTGAGATAACACGTATGTATGTATCTAACCTATTTTGAACCATTAGCAGATGGACAACCAATAAGCACAATAAACCCCGACAAGACATCAACTCCAGTTCAGAAGGCGAGAAGATATAGATATGCTGGTGTTTGCAGTCATAACATAACAGCGGGCAAAGCGCGTTTTGCTACTATGGCCCCAGCGTGTTCATCCTCGGAGCGAACTTAACAAGAACAAAAGAAAGCAAATACTCACATGTACATAGGACACCTCGAACCTTTTATCCTGCCATCGAAAAAGAGACACCCAGAACGCCATGCTGTCATGCATCAGATCACTCAGGCTGTATTAAAAGTCAGTACACCAATCCCAAAGACCAACCGAACAACAGAGTAAACTTACTCGAATCTTGCCCTTCCGAGCCTTAATCTCCGCCAACTTCTTCTTATCCTCGTCAAAGCGCCTAAGCAACTGGTTCTGTCTCTCCTTTCTCTTCTCCCTAGACTGGAATCGATAAAAGTCCTCGAGTCCCACGCCCTTCTTCTTCTGCTTCTCAACAAGCTCCCGCATCTCATCCTCACGCGCCACAGAATTCAACTTAGGTCCGTGCGAAACAGTAACGAATCCATCGTCGTCCGGAACAGCAAGACGCTTGTGATCCTCGCGCTTGCGCGTCTCAGCCACCTGCGTGAACGTAGTCATGAACTCATTCACCGCCCGTAGCAACGTCCCCCGATCGGGGTACTGCATGCGCTCGTGCGCGACGTATCGGTTCAATCCGAGGACGGGGATGCGATCTGTAGGCAGACCTTCGCCCCAGACGATGGTGGTACCGCGCTTGGAGGCCTTGGTGGCGGCTTTCAGACTGGTTTCCATGCTGGGCTTGTCGGCGAAGATGACGACTGCGTGGCCGCCGCTCTTGTGGAGTTTGCGATCCCAGGTGGATGGGAGAGTAATGTCGTCTAGGTGGCGTTCGAAGTCATCGGCGGTTACGCGCTTGCGCTTCTTTTTGGATTGAGTTAGGTTGGTTTCTGTCGTTGTTGCCGCGGCGCGCTTTTTGGTCTGCACATCTTCGAATTGAACTCTTTCTACACGGCCTGCAGCGAGTTGCGTGCCGAAGAGGTGGCGGAGGTGCGCTTCTGTGGTGTCGATGGGGACGTTGACGATGAAGAGGGAGCGGGTGGAATCTGGGTCTGGGATTCGGGGCTCGTGTGGTCGGATGTAGAGGTAGTGTGTTGCGGGGTTGGGAAAGAGAGGGGTTGTTGGGAGCTGCACTGGTAGGGTAATGTACCCTTCCACCTGCACGGATTCGACCTTCATTTTGAATGGAGGTTTGATTGCCGGATTGTTGCGTTGATTGAGCTGAACTTTTTCTGCAGATTTGCTCTTGGCACAAAATTTTGCCGGGATGTCGGAGCGGCGGTGTAGGCGGTGAACTTCCTACTTAGGGCTTCGACTACATCGACATGAACATGACTTGAAACTATTGGTATTTTAACCTATCATACATCATATGAATTGACTAATGGTATAAGATCATCGCAGCATAAAGCCTGATACATCATGAAAATCGTGACTGCAAAGCATTTCCATCGACCACACCACCTTCAAGCCTTGTCAGGATCATTGATCCCTCCATTGGTAATGACATAGATTGCCTCACGCTCAGCGCAGTCTTAGAAGGAGTTAGAACAGTGATAAATCCAGGGGCATATCAATGTACTCACCAGGAGAATCTTGGATCTTCGCAACTCGCTCATCACCACGACCCTTCCGAAGGAGCACACGAGTAGTGGAAGCGTGAGCAAGAACATGGCCACCAACCGGCTTGCGACCATCAGCTCCAGCGAAGAGAGCACTGGCACCAGGGTCACTCTGGACCTGGTTTGTCTGAACCGGAATGTGAGCCCCAACACGTCGAAACACATAAGACCTCACTTACCATCAAGACACAAACATTAAACTCTGCCAGTCACACCAGATCAGCCAAAACGGCCGTAAAAACACAGAAGAATAAATCTCACCTTCAGCCATATGCGCCAGCTTCATCAAGAACTGATTCAGTTTCTGCTGCCGATCCGCCAACTCTCCACGGCCACAATAATCAACCCGGAAGCAGTTCATGATACTATCAATAACAAGCAATCGATACTCGCCACCTGCAAATGCCCGAGAAAGCGTATTCAGCAGCTCGAACTGGTGCTCGCTGTTTAGTGCGCGCGCATAGGAAATATTCTCCTGCGCCGTGTCGGGGTCCATTCCGAACCGTTCGGCGATTTGAGCAATGCGTTCGGGTCGGAAAGTGCCCTCTGTGTCGATGTAGGCGACTCTACCGGCTGCCCCGCCTGCTTCTTTGGGTAGCTGGGCGACTACGGACATTGTGTGCGAGAGTTGTGTTTTACCGCAGCGGAATTCGCCGAAGACTTCGCTGATGCTCATGCTTTGGAAGCCGCTGATGAGGTGTTAGATGGGCTTGACTGGTGGCTTTGGGGATGGGTCGTATTGTGTACTCACCCGTTGAGAATTGAGTCAAATTGCTTGCTGCCGGTTGAGATACGGACGACTTTCTTACGCTGGTGATGGAGATCCATTGCTGTGATGAAGCCTGAGGCCGTTGGAAGGCATTTCTGAATTGCTTCTTTGACTTTCTCGACTTTGACTTCGCTAAATCCTTTGATTTTGAGGAGAGTCTTTCGGGTGGCGCCGTGGACAGACTGGATGACTGGTTAGGTTTGTTCGAGGATAGCATGGGCTTGCGCTATGCTTGGAGACGAGGCGGAAGGTACTGACAGCAATCGTGTAGAATCCATTGGCCTTTAGCTTGGTGATGTCGGCTGCGCCAATGCCATGGGCTTGTATACCGTCAATGTCCAGAATGAAGTTCTGCAATTGTAGAATATTCGCTCTGGTTAGATTGGCAGTTCCAAGGCGTGCGTGGGGGTGGGGGGTTGTTGTACCTCGTCGTCGTCGAATTCGTCACTTCCAACCGAGCCCGGCATCTTGACAGGATCGATTGGAGATGGTTATGTGAAGATGAATGATGGGGGTGAATGTAGAGTGAACAAGAGATGTGAAGGAAGACTCAACTTTTGTGTTTAGGGTCACGGGTTCAGTTACTAAGTACACCCATCTACACACTACACGAAACAAGATAATTGAGATATTTCTTTTTTAGCTCGAAATGTTCTCAGGACTCTTCCCATCTGGAAGTCCTCTTTCTTTCTTTCCACAGTTGCAACGGCCCGAATCCAATTCCGCTCAGCTTCAACAGATCCTCTCATTGCCACACTTCATCTCCTCGTTCTCTCTTTGGCCCCATTCGGGAAAACCGCAACCAAGAGTCGATCAACCAAGAAAGATAATCCATGAGAATAGACGCCAATCATAAGACTTGTGAAAGTCAAGTCAAGGGTGACTCGAAAAACAAAACCAAAAAGAACTTTTTCTGTTTGTTCGTCGTATACATGATAGGGATAAAAAAAAATAAGTTAAAAAAAAAAGAACAAGTTCCAAAAGGGGGGAAATAAGGGAAATCAAAAGCTGTTTTTTTTTTTCAGGTCCAGAACCAGACCCGTTCCCCAAAACAGTGGGTGTGATTTAAATATATGCAAAGGAAGAAATGGCGGAGAGGTTTAGGGGAAAGTGACCGTAATACAGAATCAAGGAAGAAAAGGAACTCCAAGCATTCCTCCAATGGCGGACGCACAGTGGAGAGATAGGACCGAACGCACTTAAGCGACGGCAGTAGTCGGAGCCGCAGCAGGGACAGTGTTAGCCTCAGTGGCAGTCTCGACAGCGGCGACAGCAGGGGCAGCAGCCACAACGGGGGTAGCGGCAACGGGGACAGCCTCGATGGGAGCAGCGGGAGCAGCGGCACCCTCGTTGGTAGGGCAGTCGCGGGAGATGTGGCCAGCCTGGGCACACTTGTAGCAGACCTTGCCGGCGGAGCTGAGGGGACCACCGTTGGGCGCGGTGCAATCACGCGAGATGTGGCCGAGCTTGCCGCAAGCGTAGCACTTCATGGCCTGAGCCTGGCAATCGCGAGCGAAGTGGTTGGGACCACCGCACTTGTAGCAGGTAGCGGCACGGGGGTAGCCGCTGAATCCACCACGGAATCCACCCTGGAAACCACCGCGAGCACCACCGGCGCCGCGGCCAGCGGCGGGACCGGTAGGGGGAGCACCAGCTCCGGGAGCAGTGGGGTTGGTGCAGTTGCGCTGGAATGGGGTTTTAGTAACTGGTTCGAAGGTTCAAGACCTAGGCTTGGAGGTTGGAACTTACGGCAAGGTGACCGGGCTGGCTGCAGTTGTAGCAGCGGCCGTTGGCACCGCCGTTCAGGCGCAGGGTGGGGCAGTCAGCCTGGACGTGGCCGAGACCCTGGCAGTTGTAGCACTGCTTGGCTGGATGGCTGTTAGCAACCTGGAATAGGAGTTGATATTGAATGATCGCCTACTCTCGGTGGTACGGGGCAGAGGGCAGGCGCTCGACTCGTGGCCTATATGATAACTTAGAAGCTTGTTTTGAGTACTATGACCCCTGATCGAACATACCGGGCTGCTTGCCTGTAAAATAAGATAAGTTAGCACTCAGTAAGATAAGGGTATGAGCTCTCGGGAGATATTCACGCACAGTTGTAGCAGAGACGCTCAGTGGAGGAGCAGACCTCTAGCGAGGAATTAGTTTGACCCCAGATATACCAAGCTTCCAGCTATACTAACCAGCGTAGTGACCAATAGTGCCACACTTGTAGCATGCGCGACGAGACAACATCATTCTGGCGGTAATCTATCCATCGCAAGTCAGCCCGAGGTCGGGGTTATGGTTTGGTATAGCTCCGTCGATCGTCTTCCCCTCCATTGTCGGAATTGTTGAATCGTATGCGCCTGGTATTTGCAGTTCCAGTGTATATTGTATCCGATATAATCCGAGCCCAGCACAATCGCGTTGCGATCTCAAAAATTTCAATCGAAAGAGGGGGAAGACGTAGATCGGTGGGGGGGGGGAAGAGAGCTCGAACGGCGAAACACGACGTTCACTCACCCTCACAGGTAACTCTTCAAATGTCAAAAGTCTACCCTCTTGGTCAGCTTCTTGAGAACCTTGGAGAAAAGGCACGTTGTGACAGCCCACTTGGAAAAAAAAAAGTGGAACACGAGGGGGAAACCACACAGAAAAGAAAAAAAAAAGCAAAAAAAGGCAGACGAATAGAAAAGATACTCACACTCAACAACTTCAATAACCTCTTCTCAACTCCAACTTCGTTTTCAGAGAATGCACGAAAGAGAGGAAAAGTGGAAAAAGAACAAACTCCGGCTTTAGCTCCCGGGCTTTTCCGTATTGCGTAAGGCGTTTACTGTATAATATCCTACAGTATAGTATGGAATATATATTCTATATATTTTGAGAATACCTTATCCCTACATTCCTACAAAGTAGATCCATTCTCCAAAAAGTGTCACAATGCAATTCATTTCTTCGTTCCAAAGAGATCTCCATGAGATCCAGCTGGTTAGCCCATCTAATCTACTCTTCCCGCTCCAGGATAGCCGGTGCCTTAATTTCCCGTCCCTTGAGGAATTCCAGGTTTTCACCGCCCTATGTATGTTAGTTGAGAGATCAGAGATGAGATAGAGAAAACATACATAGCTGATCAGAGGAGAAACTTCAACACCAACGGCCTCGCCATCGGTAATAACAATACCACCAGCAGCCTCAACCCATCGCTGACCTTGGGCCATGATATCCGCACGGCTGGTATCAGGGTCGTCCTCACCAGTGCCGCGGGCGTTCTTCAAAGGCGAGAACTCGTCGTGACGGTGCACCTCAAGGGTAGCAAACTTCTCCAGCGGTGTCATGGGGAACACGTCGAAGACGAACTGCTCCAGCTTGATGCCGTTGGGCTTCTCAGGCTTGACAATGTTACCAGTCTCAGTATCGACACAGGCGATCTTCTTGCGCGCCACGTGGTGGGGCAGCTGGTGAGCCCAGTTCTCGATCGACTCGAGGAACCGGAAGGAGTAGTAGTGGTTGACAATGTTGGCAGCACGGTACTTGAGGACGTCGGGCTGCTTGGGGTCCTTGGCCTCGGCAGTTTCCTTGTCAATCTCAGAGTACTCGACCACGTCGGGCTTGCCGTTCTTCAACAGGATCAGGCCTACGGACTCGGTGGCATTGCGCTTGCGCACCACCTTGGTCGCGATATCGACGTTCTTAGAGGCCGCAAAGCCAATGAATACCGGGTCAGCTACCTTGACCAGGCAGTTGTCCACTCCGTAGAGGTGGATGTGCTCGATACCACGGCGGCGCATGTCCTCGCGCACACCGGAGACCACAAGTCCCTGGTAGATGCCACCGTTTCCATCAGGAGCCACGGCGACCTATATTCGGGGTCAACAAATCTCTTCTTACATGTTGAGCCACGCCCGTATATATCACATACCTTGCCCTTGCTCTCGAGCAGGATCTTGCCATCATTGGAGATACAAGGCAGAACACCCTGCTCGAAGACCATAATATTGTTCTTGTCAAGACCAAAGTAGTTGTTCTTCTCAAAGAACTCCTCGGTGGGTTTGCGTGTAGGCCCACTGGTCATGACGTACCAGGGTATGACGACGTCCTTACCACCGATGAGGGACTGCAGCTTGGCAATACGCTGAGCCTGCAGCTGGAAGAGCGATTTCTCGCTCAACAGACCAATGTCAAAGCAGCCCTTGGGGGCAGAACTGCCGAGCCGGGTACCCTGTCCACCAGCCATCAAGACCACGGCCACCTTGTTCGCCGCCACCTCCTTCAGGCCGGCTTCATACCATTTCTGAATATCTGAGGGGTCGGAGTCGAGAATGGAGGCTGTGGCGACTTCGGGGAGGGGCTCGAGGGTCGCGGTTCCCTCTGAGACCGGAGGAGGGTTGAGGGCCTTGTCGGCCAGCTCATTGATCCGAGTGGGGTCAAAGTTGGACAACTGGTGGAAGAGCTGTGACTTCTCGACGGTGGTCAATTCGTCGACAAAGGCAAAGACATGACCTTGTCCAGCGTCTGTGTATTTCTTTTGTAGTGTTTGAAACTCCTCCACTGATGGTTCACGGGGAACCTCTGGAGTGGTGCCCTGGAATTTTCCAAGAACATTGGAGACAGCATCTTTAATTAGGCTTGCCATTTTGAATATTTGAAAAAAAAAGGAAGAGAGAGATAATTGGGGAAAGTACGAAGAGAGAGAGAGAGAAGAAAGTAAATAGAAAAAATGAAAACGTGGGGTGAAGCTCAAGCTGAATAAGTACCTTAAAACCTTCCAAGGGTACACGGTAAAAACTCCAGTTTAATATATCTCTCACTATTAGGAACCTAGTGGGCTCCAGTTTATTTTTAGGGATCTGCAGAGGCGAGTAATAATGAGCTGTCCATACAAGAAAGTGACTAGCGAGCGCCATCTGAGACCTGCCCACTGGATTTTATTACGCTAGTCATAGCGGGGCCTTGGCCTACACGGGGCGAAGTTCGAGTGGATATGTTCAAGTTATTTATTTGAGAATAGGGGGTAGGGAATATGTGAATAAGAATAATTTTGTACAGTATACGGACTATCGTCGGTACCGGCCTTCTTTTCGTGAATCTCGTCGTGGACTCCGACTCCGACTGTATCGACGGTTTCGATCTCTATCTCGACGAGGACTTCGACTTCCTCGATCTCGAACTCGAGTACGATCTGACGGGGCCTCCCGCGGAGCCTCGCGGGGCGGAGCCGGAGCGCCCCTTTTCTTGTTCTTGTCAAACATCATCCCATACCTAGAATCATTCTCATCAATAGGCGCGTCATCCAGCTCTCGGTACTGGCGTTTCGCTTCGAGATCTTCAACACCACCAAATCCACCTCTCTGTCGGCGTTTGGTGACAGTAGAATTGCGCCAGCTTTCGGATAATTTGGATACCTGGGAGATATTAGCATATTGATCTAGGCAATAGTGACGAGGAGCTCTTACACTCTGTGAGAAATCCACATGGATCCGGTGGTCATCAATCAAGACACCCTGCATCTTGAAATAGGCCTGTTCACAGTCCTTCTGTTCCTCGAATTCAATAAAAGCATATTGTAGACTGTCGCCAGTGCGCTTGTCCCGAATGACCTCGCAAGACAAGATCGTTCCAAAGCGGCTGAAAATAAGATTCAGATCCTCATCTAGCATTGATTAGCACCAATCTCACGATTCCGCGGGGAAACGTGACAAACCTTGTGTGACCGGGTTGAGCTTGCAGACAAAAAGAATATTCTCTGGTGGCTTGACGTCGGCGAACGGCAGATCTCCAACCATTTCCAATGTCAGCGCCTGGGCGCGAGCCTCACGCTCGCGACGGAGCTTATCCATAGCCTCTTCATCCATATCATCATCCAAGTCCTCATCGTCCGCGATTCTGACCGTGGCCAATTGGGCTTTGGAGGGCAGCGGGCTTTCAGGTGGTTCAACCAGATTTGGCGGGTCATCGAAGGGATCGTCAAGGACAGTGGTGTGACGAATGCGAATATCCTTCAGCGGTCGACCTCGGTCGTCAATAAAAGAGTCATTGATTTTCTCCAGGACATCAAAGCCCTCGACGACCTTGCCGAAAATCACAGCCTTGCCATCTAAATAATCCAGATTGTCTCCAAGTGTAATGATGAATTGACTGGCGGCTATCCGTTGGTCGGGGTCGTTCTTGGCCGGTACCGTCGCCATGCTCACCGTGCCGCGTTCCAAGTGTTTCAACTTGCGCGACACCTGGAGTGGAAATGTTCGTTTCGACGGTCCGTCCAGCAGACCCCATACTGAAGATCCTCCATCACTTTCAGGTGCATCAGGGCCGAGCGGGTCGCCGGTCTGGAAGGTAAAATTCTTTTGGACGCTGTGGATGGGCGAGAAATTGTAGTACTTGAGCTTGCATAGCTTCAAGAAGCTAAAAGCACACAAAATGAGCTTAGTTTCAGGTTTCAGCAGACTGGAAAGCCAAGGAACGGAGCCACTCACTTGTCACACGCCTTGGGTGCATCATCGACCAACAGGTCAATTACGATATCGCCCAGGGAGGTCTCTAAAAGCGCGCTCATAGCGGGGAATCGGGTCGCGCGAAAGCCACCGAATTAAGCGCTTGGACCTTGACAAACTTTGGTAATAAAAGAGAGAGGTATTAGATAGTAGAGAGAGACAGACAGAGAGAGAGAAGTGAAAGTCACGAGAAATGCGCAAAAGATCGGAGCTTCGACCAATGACCGCCCGCGGGGATCCCTAACCGGAGAGAACCTGAGCCTCTCTTTATTTGATTTTCTTCTTTTTTTTCTTCTCTTCCTATTTTTACACACAAAAAGGAATTTTTCCTGAATGGGTACGTACTGCGAAACAGCTCTAGGGCTCTGCCGGATGATCGACCCGGGAGACTTGTGCAACGGTGCTCGTCAATCGAACGGCATATCTTCCGAATGTCCCCGTTGGACACATAACCTTACGCATTTGAGATCGACGTGCAGCGGATCTTATTAAGGGCCTTGATCGACCCTGGGATTCCAAGTTTGAACTGTTTGTGTGCTTATATCCCTCATGCAGCAGCAGCCCAAGCCAAAAGAAGCATATCTTCTTGGCAGTTCGAGAGTAATGCTCACTGGCTAATCCTTGAGTCACCCTGTTGTACCGTTTTCGACTTCTCCCCACTGAAAGACCATGGGCATCTTCCATGGGAAATACACGGTCCTCCTTTTGCTTGGACACCCATCTTTCCCCCGTGAGCCGTTCCACAACAGAAACGTTGGGAAGGGGAAACGGGCGGCCTCCTGCAGCAGTGATCCAACGGGTATCATCACTAATACACTAACTTTTTGGAAAAGAGCCACACACGTGGGATGGGAGATGATCATGAGCCTCTTGCTTGACCTTTCTCGATCTGGGCAAGTTCCGGTCAGCAGCCAGGGGGGTTGCCTCCACCGTATCGTCTGCAACAAAAGCCAGTCTCAATCCCAACATGTGTTCCTGGCGAGTCAACTCCAGAGTCAGCTGGCGTCGCAGGGCTCTTTGGTTTCTCCTGATTCTTCTCCATTCCTGCTTCCCCCGGATGTCGTGCATCGTCAAACCTTGACACTGGTCTAAATACTTGCCAGAGACTCCATGGGGGGTCTAGATTTGTATTTGAAACCCAGACTTTGATTGCCTTCCCCACTCTAGTTTCTCTTTTCTTTCTCCATGTCTCTCGTGTCCTCACACTGGATGTCTTAAGGGACATGAATATATTGGAGAGTTACTATAATCTTGGAGAACCCCCCTTCTACAATATAATTCTTTGCCCCATGTCATACTGTAACGCGAAACTTCCTCTCCACATTAACTCGAAGCAATGTGCGAACCTTGCAAGCATCCCAGAAGTTCATGCATCTCAGTCACTTCTAGATTCCCCTTTTTAGCCTTTAGCGTTGATTGTGATCGAGATCTGGTATGAATGACACAATACTCCATATAATGGGTAAGTGCTATATCCCTCTTCCTCATTTTATGGACTTGATTTGCTTTTTTTCCCCTTCCATTTCGATCTAGCTGCGTACCGGAAGCGCTAAAGAACGCTGGGTCGATACCCTTGTCGTCGATCAATCTTTTAGATCGTTGATCCCTGAAAGGCTTTTCTTTCTAGAGCGCGCTTGGCCCGGGGAAGCCAACTCGTGCGCTTGTCAAAGTGACAGGTGTCATGAGAGACTTCGGTATATTTTCTTTTTCTCTTCTCTTTCTCTATTGAGACAATTGAAGCCTGATACAAGCGTTTGCTTTTTTTATTATTATTTCTCTTCTCTTTAGACCGTGCGTTTGCAAGATAACATTCCCTCGATACCGAGTTCAAAAACGTTCGGACTATTTTAACCTGCAGCTATACGCCAGAACTATCGAGCAAACATTTACGGACGTCGGTCATACTCCCCCGCGGATCGTCATGTTTCTGCAAACAGTAGCTCGGCAGTTGCCCGTTTTTTTCTATCTGGAAGATCTTGAGATACACTGTTTCCTCTTCTAGCAGAAAAAAGAAAAAGAAAAAAGAGCTGAAACACCGGAGCATCTATCTCCTGTTCTCGTCATGGCTATCCGTGTGACGTTACCTTGTGAAACCTCTTTTTAAAACGTATATTTTCTGTCTTATATGACAACTGGGGGAATCTGGGCATACGGAACTGTGCATATCATTTCTTTCCCCTTGGGAAATAGAAGTAAAAAAATAAGAAATAAGAAAGGAGAAAAAACCAAAAAAAGAAAGGAAAGCTAGGTCCAGGGTACTTTTGGCCTAGGTACTGTGTATGTCGTCTCTCTTCCCTAGATCTAAACACATAGTATAGAATATAATAATAAAATATAGAGAAAAAAGCAGGGGGCAAAAAATATCGCATGTCTATAATTTTATAAAAAAAAAAGAAGGCAATCAATCACACCGATTGTTACCAAAACATGGCTTAAATCTAGTCCTATTTCCCAGAGACATCCTTCATTTTCTACTTTCTCTCAACATTGACTTATAGGCATTCACTGGAGCTTTCCTTTTGGATCTGCTGAACAGTGAATCTACCCGGGTTATTGTTCTTTGCATCATGGATCACACATACAACCTCTCGGAACTAGAAGCCCGGCATAACTCCACCATTTCTATGGCTCGATCAATGCGTGTGGCTAAGCAGGAACGCAATCTTGTAGAGCGAGATGACAAGCCACGGAAACAGAGGAAGCGAGCTCTAGTGGCAGTAAGTACCTCTCTCCATCTTGATCGGCAATTTCTAACCTCTACCAGTGCAATCGATGCCGGAAGAGAAAAATCAAGTGCAATGGTGATCTAAACACTGGCTTGGCTTGCTCCAGCTGTCGTAGTGTTGGAGCTACCGAATGTCAATACATAAGAGTAAGCCTGAATCACACATCCACGAAAGAGTCACACTGACCTAGTTCTTTTGCTTCATAGGTCAACTCTTTGGCCCCCGAAGATGCTGCTAGAGAAGCAGCTAGGCTCTATGCAAATAAGGGCCAGGGAAGGTCTATCCTCATGGGATCCCCTCAAATGCGAACTCCATACCAGCGAGAAGACTACGAGCTGGATATCCAGTCCAACTTCTCACGGCAACCCGTCGGCATGGATCACTCCTATGATGACCATTCAGCCAACTACCACGGCCAGACATCGCCAGGGTACATGCTGTCCAGCACCCCTGGAGCAATGCTCGACTATGGCACCGCATGGGGTAACCGGGCCTGGGATATCAACGGCAGACCCAACGGCGAGTTCTTCGAAGAACCAAACAGCAACATGAACCAAGCTGCATACGGCTTCGTGCTCCCAGGCCAAGGCATGTCCGCCGAAATGCCCCAATCAACAGGAGCAATGACAACGTCGTACACCGACGCCGTAGACCGCACTCTCCCAACGCCCCTAACCTGCCGAAGCCAACCTCAGCCAAACATCAACCTTTCCACCCTCCCAGACGGCCTCTCGGGCATGACCCTAGCCTCTGACGCAAAGGGCCAGGGTTGGAACTCGCGGTACGCAACCTCTCCAGACGGCCGCACAGTGACCATGCCCACCGTCCCAAGCAACGGTATCTACAATACCAGCCCCTCAGCACGTGTCAAGTCAAACGATTCAGACGACGGAACACCTGATCTGGTCTTCGGCTACATCCCCATGGCCACAGCAGAGGATTCATCCCCTCTTCCCCCATCATCCTCATCCTCCATGGCCTCCTCCGCTGCAAACCCGCCTTACCCAGCTCTGGACACGATAGAGAGCACACTGGGGGAGTACAACAAATCCGATGCACGTCTAGGACGCACTTTCTCGCGCGACAGCGGCGCCGGACAGCGTATGCTCGCACTGACTTCTGATTGCGCACCGGATGTATATGGTTATTCTGGCAATGAGCGCAGAAAATCCAGGGGCGTTGTCGAGGCGGATGTGCGCTGCTCGGCACCGACGCTTGTTAATGGGTTGCCCTATACGCGTGTTCGACATGCAGACTCGGCGGTTGGTTTGCCGTATGGATTTTTGCCTGATAACTTGTCTGATTATGGGCGTTCGGTTGATAGCTTGCATCGTCCTCCCATTTCATCCTTGGGACATCAAGGGGCGTATTGAGTTGACTAGGGTCTGTCTTGGTGTCATTGTATCGAAACACGAGGCGTTTATTTACCCCGTCGGATTCTTGGGTTTTGATTTGGTTTAGTTCTTTTTTCCTGGTTGGTCTCTTGCTTGGTTTCTTTCTTTCACACAAGATACACAAAAGAGATACCCATATCAAGGCCGTTTACATCTGCCTTTGTTCTGCCCCATGTAATGTCTTTCTCATGTCTGTTTTTGTTTTTGTTTGTTTTTGGTCTTTTGATGTTCAGTACTGTTTTGATTTATTGCCCGTTCATCCCTTTCTGTCTGCTTATGTTCATTCAAAAGAGAAAAAATATCTAATGGACTATGATGGGGATTGTGCCTATCCTGTCACACCCATCTATCAAGATTACTCCCTAATACCCCAGAGTGGTTTTTTGCAGTGATTTATATCTGTGGTTCTGTGTCTGTTTCAAATATATGCTTTTTTCATGCCATGCATTTTTGATCTAGTTGGCGGAATGTCTTATATTCTATTGTTAGTTGATCTCGACGGGATGATGAATGAACTCTCCGGTCTGCCTGTGATAGTCTTCTGTCTTCCATTCTCCAAAGCATGGAGGGTTCTTTATTTGCCCTATACGGCCTATCTGAAAGTAATGTCTTTAACATATCTACTCTATCTGCCCTTACTCAAGTATCTATATCTCAATCCAACACTTGAGTACAACCCCCTAGTCACCAACCATATCCCAAATAATACAATACATATAATAAACTCCCTCCCCATATTTCCCATCCACCCCCAATAGTCACAAAGACAGACTACGGCTAACTATGTGCCCTGCACTCCCCGACCAACACCAGGAATCCTTCCAAATCAACCAGAAAGTAGCACATAAATCTGTACATCGCCGGATGCCTGACTTCCGCCCTGGACTAAAATGCAGTGATACAATGACCCAACCTGCCACGCCGTATACAACCCTGCCATGGCTGTGTCCGGGTACTTGGCTGCCGGAAATCATACGGTAGCAGATATGTATCTGCATATCCGATCAGAAGACCAGTTTCCCGATGGAACAAGTCCACGTGGAATTGGAATGAGGTATTTCCATATTGGAACTGAAATTTAATTGAGAATAGAATATTTGAGAAAGGGAATTTGTTCTAAGTTGTGTAATCTGTCCATCGTACAGGCGATCCATCCCGAGGGAATTACTTACACAGCCCCTCCCGGTTGGATTCTGTTGCTTCGAGGGCTTGTCACGTTATATGTGATGGCTTGGTTTGGGAAGTTAGTTCCTGCATTGTACATTGGGTTGTTATTCTTTTGCTCTAAGTCGGATAGAGGACTAGTTTGGTTTTGGTTGGTTCATCTGTAGAGGGTTTAGATCGTTTTTATAGAGGCCGACACTACGCTTTTTGCTGACACTACATTTCTGGACGAAGTAGTGTCAGGATTGCAAAAACAAGCAATTAATCACAAGTCAGTTGAATTGCTCGGGCAATGATCAGCTGCAACATTCAGTATAATATGAGTCTGCACTATGAATTAGGGCTTTAGCGCTTTAGGCAGTAACTTTCAGCCCATGTAACCTAGTGCTTTATATATTTTCCGATATAAATTATGAATCTCGGAAGTACAAAAGGAACTTCATTGGCATGCTTGCACGTCGGATAATTTCTGCTTTCCGAAAATAAGGACCAATCGCTTACATTGCGGCGATGCATAGCGCACGATTACCGAGCCAAGCACAGAGTCCGATCGAACGACAGTCCTCAAAGCCACATTTGATTTCATACTCAAAATCACAACTGAGCCCGATGACTTGATAGTTGAGATAATAATAATTGAACCCCCTTCTCCTAAGCCTGAGTCATCATCCCCGCCTCGACACTACCGCATATTCCCATAATACGGAACTGACTTCCTTCGGCGAACCGTTGAGGGTATTAGGGAAGATGAGCAAGGATACGCTGAGTCAGACGAAGAACTCGTTCGTTCCTGACCTGTGTGCGGGAGTTGTATGCTGCATGGGTGGATGAATAGAGCGATAACTGGAAGAAGCAATGTGAAGATACCCAGGGCTATTATGCCCCTGTCTTCTCGGGTAGAATAGAAAAGGTGGCGCAGACTGTCACTGGGTATCTGTTGGCATGGCGCATTGCTCTTGGTCCAGGTGTTGGATGTGTTCAATACTCCTCTCGTTCTACAAAATAGCGGCTTGAATGGGGGGAATGAATCGGCTGTGACAGAGAGGCTTTTGGAGGATCAGATTGGGGGTTTGGCTAAGGGGACAGCATGATCATTTCACTCTCTTTGGCTCTTTGTATTGACATAGTCCAGTTGAATCAACTGGACGTGAAACATTGCTTTAGTAAATCAAAGATGTCAACAGGTTCGCCTTCTGATATAGGCAAGAAGAGGGCGAATTGTTACATCAATCAAGTTAAGACATGCTTCTGTTGTACGATGACATTGGGGTATAGCCTTGGAAGCACTCCGCATTGAAGTATAGAGCATAGAGGGGCATGGCTTGATAAAGACTGAGCCTAGACTACGCCGCAGAGGGTCATCAGTCTACAGTCTCCAGATCAAACTATAGATCCAGACATGGCCATACAAACGTACAAACGTACAAGTACAGTCTACAAGACCGCCAGACCAGGTGAAGAGAAACAAGTAAAATGTAATTTCATCCCGGGCAAACAGCCGAAGCCCGGATTCTCATAACCCCGGCCGTCTTCACGGAGACTGATGATCCCCCTCCCCAAAAAAAACATACACACAAAGAACCACAACACTGACGCCCTGTTTAAAAATTTCCATGGGGATCGCCAGGTCTTTTTTTTCTTGGGAATCATCAGCTCCAACAAGCACAGGAAGAAAAAAGAGTATCCGTCCACGATCTTCACCAATCAACGGGCATCATTTTGGGTTTTAGTCTGATGTTCGCTGAAAAGGAAGATAAACCACCCCCCCACACACGACCGACCGCACCTAGGTCCAGACAAGCCAAATCCAGGTGGGTAACTCCAGAGCCAAAGCCGTCACCGCCATAATCTTTCCCATCGCGCCATGCCGCATCATCGGTCCATGTTGTATCGTGCGAATAGTTACAGATGAGGCGTTTAATCCTTGTTCTTCTTGGGGCCCTTGACCTTGGCGACACCGCGGAACTTCTTGGAACGGTTCTTCCGTTGCTTGCCTGTAGGGGGAAAGGGGTTAGCAAAGAAGAAACAACATGATGTTTGGCGATTGATAATCGTCGGGACGAAAGGAACATACGCTGCTGGCGGGAAGCCTTCTCGATCTTGCTGGCGGCACCAATGCGAACGAGACGGTAGTGGGGCTCGAACTTCTTAAGGGCCTCGGAGGAGTCGTAGACCAGAGCGAAGCCGGTGCTCTTGCCACCACCGTACTGTGTGCGGAAACCGAAGACGGAGACCTGGTCCTTGTTGGACTTGTACAGATCGGCCAGCTTCTCACGGAGCTCGTCCTTGGAGACGTTGGGGCGGTTGGGGTGGAGGACGTCCCTAGATATTCGCGAAAAGATGTCAGATCGGGGTTTTCTGGTGTTTCGATGCTTGTTTCTGTGTGTGTTGCGGTGTTCCGATTGTATTCCTCTTTCTCTTTCTCTTTATGCTGGGTGGTTGTCGAATTTCAATGTTGCGCGCCTGCGATGCATTTCCCACACACAGATCCAAAACGAGGGGGAAAATCAGGGGGTTCTTACACGACCATCTGCTTGCGGGCAAGCAGAGGGTTGCGGATGAACTTGCGAGTCCGCAGAGTGACGGGAGTGTCGGCCATTTTGGTGTGTGCGTTGGATGGAGGAAGTGTCGACGGGGTCACTGAGGATGTCGAACTTTCAATTTTCGTGTGGTGTGGGCTCGGCTAGGGTAGACGCTAGCCTATTTGGGCTGTATGCCTCAGGCCATATGACTAATAAATTTATGCGCCTGAGGCAGAAAGTGTTGATCAGCCCTTGCTTATCTCATTCCTGACTCATCCACTCTTTTAGGCGGGGCTCCAATGAGATATCTGCTACATTGATCTGCAATATCAAATTCATTACTATGTTCAATTCAGCAACCATGACCGACTTTATTCCTAAATTAACTGCACAATATTTCCAGCTGGTTGAGCTCCAGCAATTGGCCCTCCCACCAGGCCATGTGATTATCCAGCCAGCCGTGCAAGCAGCCTTGTACGAGCGCATGTTCAACGAAAATGCAGTCTTCCCTATCCCACCAGACAGCTACCGAAGCCGAGTGCTGAAACAGATTATCTCACGCATTGAGGAATCAATTACCAACCCTGAGGAGGATGTATGCCACCCCACCTGTTTAAGTCCTGTTATTCTGCATTTGTCATTTTGATTTGCCTATCTTTTCCTTTTCTATCCCATATACTTCCACACACCAATGCAAAATCCACTTTTTTATATTCCTTGATTCAACCTATCTAACCTATTCCCTCCACCCGTGAAAACAGGAGATTAACGATGATCTCATGGAAAGCTGGAGCACACTAGTCTCGCAGCCGAAGCCCTCAGCACTGCAACAAGCGCAGCAACTGTCTTTGGTCAAGTACACAGCGCCAACATCCAGCGCAGGAATCAGTTCAGAGTGCACTGTCATCACCTCTGAATCACGCGGCTTGATTCTTTCCGCTGGAACGACTGGCAATCGGACATGGGAGGCTGCGCTGCATCTCGGTTCGTTCCTGGCGTCCAAGGCAGGCGAGGCTCTTGTGCGCGGTAAACGAGTTATCGAATTGGGCGCTGGCACGGGCTTCTTGTCGCTTCTTTGTGCTCGCCATCTTGGTGTGCGCTCTGTTGTTGTTACTGACCGCGAGCCCATGCTTATTGATAATATTCGTGACTGTGTCAAGCATAATTTGAATGGACTCCCGTCCATTCCGATTTATCCTGCTGTTTGGGAGTGGGGGACTCCATTGGCGAAGGAGGGGAATCTTGCCGGATTGGGCTCCGATGAGGGTGAGGAGGGTACAGGGCTGAGGTTTGATGTTGCTCTCGGTGCTGATCTGGTGGGTGTCTTTATAGGCTGTTTACTTGGATTTCGTGCTTACATTCTACACGTAGATCTATGATACCGATCTTGTTCCCATACTCCTGTCTACCGTGCGGGATCTTTTCGAGAACTATCACATCAAAGAGTTTATCATTGCTTCAACCGTGCGCAATGAGAACACTTTCCGCACGTTCTTGAATGCCTGTGGTGAGTCTTGAGTTTTATACACAATGCTGATGGTCATGTCTTGTGCAGTGCTAAACATCCATAGAAACGAACTCATTCGCTGCTGAAGCTCTCCCGTTCGAATCGACACAACCAGAAGACCAGACGGGTTTCTTCCATTCGACCAGCATCCCAATCCGCACGTATCGGATTTCGCGGGCGAAATAAGCAGCCACTTGAACTGCGGTAACATCACGAGGTAATGAGTATGACTAGAGAATGTGATATTATTTAACTTATACAAAAGGTAGTGCATGAAACTTGCTGCTACAGTATATAACTAGCCCCGAAGGAACTCTATGCAAAATTGTTCAACTCGATCATGTTGACGGGTAAAACTCCAATGGTATTGAGGTGCTCAATGAAGTGAGGTCTAAGCAAAAGGATCCTATCGCGTAAAGCATACAATGTGAAAAGGACCAAAGAGCGCATCACCTAGACAAGTTGAGGAAATCAAAGAGGAAAGCATGGGTATCATCGCAACTCGCGCCATTCCAAACCAGGAATCCAAGAAATGCAACAACCGAACCGTGAGAGCAGGATGCAAAAGTGAAAAAAGAAATAATAAGTGCGAGATTAAAACGAGTGTAGACGCTAAAGAACAATCAATGTGCAGGTTTCCTAGACCACAAAGAATCTAGCTATGCTCTTCGGCTAGACTCTCTCGTAGCAGGTTTTCGTCTATGCTTTGTGCATGAATGGAGATCGGAGCAGGAGGGGGAGGCCGTAGGCCCATTATCGGACCCTTTTGGTTCACGCCTGGGTATCTGAAGCGAAGAGCTAGCGGGTCAGGGGGTTGGGAGCAGGCATAGAAGGTGACGATGTCACCGACGTGTTTGGCGAGTTTGGCGGGTCTTGCGAGTCGTTATCGGTTGAAACAGGCGCCATGCCCCAGCGGCCTAAGACCCAGCCTCCCATGCGGCGACTCAACGTCGTAGTTTTGCGGGGCCCAAGGGCTGCGGTTGAGCCGGTGCTGGTGCTGTCCGCGGATACAATAGATGCTGTGTCGGACTTCGTGGGATTTCCCGCAGCCATGCAAGCAAGCAATGACTGGGATGTGTGCTCTGAGCTTTTTGCACGATCGGCTGTGATGGCCGGGGCTGAGATAACCGGGGGTGTTGACACTAATTCGACACTGGGTGACAAGATACGCCGAGGAATCCGCATGCCGGGATGCCAGTCGCCCATTCGCTTGTGGCGACTGGTGGGTGTATGAATATCCATTCCAGCAACGGAGACGGAGAGCAAGCTGTCATGGGAAGAAGATCTGCGCAAGGATGAAGACTGTACATGCATGGTAAAGATGTCATCTTGGGTGGTCGTCAGTGGCTCACCCATAGGCGGGAAGTATGCCACCGATGGAGATGGTTCGGATTCTTCTGGGATAGGCTCTCTTGTGACATTATCCCCGGTGTTCGAGAAGTCTTGGCGGTTGTAGAAATCATCTTCAAATGCAGATAGGTCGTCAGGTGCTTCGTGGTTATCAAAGCCACCGATTGGCCGGAAGGGCAAATCAAGGCCCTTCAGGTTCCGTGCCTGCATCAACGGCGAAGAGAACACGGTGCTTTCAGGGCTGGTGGGCTCAGAGAAATCAGCGCCGCGTTCAACACGATCAAATATCGATGACGTCCGGAACGCGGATCGAGGAGAGCTTGCTAGCGAGTCTGGAGCATGTGATTGCAAGGACCAGCGGTGGGAGGATGAATGAGGTGGAATGGAGACAGAGGTTTGCGACAGAATAGTTGACATGGAGGACCCAGATGACTGGGAGCGATGAAGGGCTCTTCGGGGCGAATGTGCCCGCGTCGCAGAGTGCATTACTACCGGGCTGCCCAGAGCGGGGCGGCGTTTCTTCACGCGACGGTTGAGGGTGCCTTTCTCCTTCTTGGTAGCTAGCGTTGGAGTTGGAGTGTGGTAATGATGATGGATGTGGAGTTCCTGAGAAACGCGTCGTTCTTCCTTCGCTTGTAGCTCCTCGCTTAACGTAGTGGAAGGCCTTGGATGTACACTGTCGTCCTCATCGACGCCGGCCAGCGGCTGATGAGAGATAACCTGTTCCCGTAAATTCTGCACTTCTTCATTCGAGCTCTGAAGCATGTCGCGTAGCTCCATGATCCCAACTTGCAGATTGGCGTTGTCTTGCAAGATGTCCTTGACGAAGCGGGAGACCACGGTGGTACCACCACTGGCGTTGCGATTTAGTCCAGAGGTAGCAGCGGCACCCTTGAGACGTCCCGCTGCATTGTCCAGCTCGCGCTCGACGGCTCTCTTGCGTTCCATGCGTTGGACGAGCTCTGAATGTCGATCCCTCTCCTCACGCGCCTCTTTCTCGATGCGGTCGACTTGATCATGAAGGTCTCGTAGGGTGTTCTCTGCCTGTCTCCACCGTTGGACGGCCGATTTCTCGTCTTCATGCACTGACACAAGGCTCTCTTGGAGCTTAGACTGCTCTGTCTCCATGAGAGCTAATTGCGCCTCGAGCTCTGCGGCACGTGTTGCAGCTGCTGTCAATCTCCGCAACTCAAACTCCGTATTTTCCAAAGTCCTCGTTAGAGATTTGACATGATTGTCAGACTCAGCCACCGCTTGGTTCAAACTGTCAAGTTGCTCTAACAAACTGCGGTTCTCTTCGATGATGCGCGCATTTTCAGCTTGAACTTGTTGCTTTTCGCGTTCTAGATCGTCAATGCTGCCGACCAACCGATGGCGGTCCTCTTCCGCTTCAGCCATATAGCTTTCATGGCGGTGTAGCAAGGCCTGTAGAGCAAAAGTCAGTGATGATGCCTCAAAACATGCTGCCTTGGCAGTATAATCATGAAAGGTAGCCATGACGAACGCCAAAACAGTGCGAGAGAATAGGAGATCGTGATCGGAGGGAAGCCATTAGAATGTAAGATCATAAAGACTGATTTCAAATGGTGTGGGGTCTGCACAAGGTATGCAGAATGTGTACCGGGCAGTCCGAGTAATAAATGAAAGGGTGAAGGGGAAAAAAGCAATCAGATACAAAAGTGTTTTGTGAAGAATGATAAAACTGATATATCAAACCAAACATGCATGGGTCAGCCAGCCCAGGAACTGCTTGGCGTTTTATACCCAACCAACAGCGAACATCACTTGGGCAGCTAATATCGAAAAAAATTACGTACCTGGCCTAGTCTAGCAGCAGTCTCTAGATCCTTTTCCAGACCCTCGAGAGCTACATTGTTATGCTCGAGTAAAGCACAGTCATTGCGGCCACAGCAGCAGCGTAGGGTGGTGGTAGGGCTTGAATGTGTAGGAATGCTGAGATCCTCGAAGCTATGTGGAGTATCCATGAAGAATGTGGCCCCTTGGGAGGGAGCTGAGTTAGTGGAGAGGCCTGATCATCAGAGAACTTGCAGCTTCGAGGTATCACAGATTCGATATTCGATTTGAGAAAGCGGAGATACCGAACTCAGCCGGGATGAGCTAAGCCTCCAGGTGTTCGTGCCTACCGCTTTGATATTGTCAAGCCTCACCGCCTATATACAATGACGTCACAAAGGGTGTATACAATGCTAGTACCTGCATATATAGGTAAGGACTGGAAAGATGTGGTAATAATAAGCTAGACACTATTGGACATTCAAAAGTAATCCCCAAAAGGGACTCATCATTCTGGCTAAGAGATACGTAGAAGTTAATTTGACAAAAAGGAAATCTGGGTAAGAAGTAGAGAGCCATGAAAGTAGAAGTAAATCAACATGAAACCCAAACTGACATCTGAAATCGATAGCCCCCTCGACAAAAGAGACATCAGTGAAGAAAAGGAAAAAAAGAAGGGAAAAACAAGACCTAGCCCAGCGCCAGTTAAAGCAGAATATCATCCCGAACATTAATAAACGCCCCAGCGCCGCCGTCTTCACTGATCTCGTTAACCAGCACTTCAGTTTGCTGGTATAGTCTTTCCAGTGCTGCAGCAGATGATTTGCCCAATGAGACTATACAGTGCTGTGTTAGCATTGTTGTTTGCAAGTAGGAACCTAAACAAAGAAGTATAGGCAGAAACAAAGAAGTATAGGCAGAAACAAAGAAGAAGAAATAGATCAAGCAACATACCAAGAATAGCTGAATTCAACTCCTCAGCCACAGCCACCCGCCCCTCGGCATCGAGGTAATGGCCATGCACAGACCTCTTCGGATCAGGATACGCTACCAGAGAGAAGATATCATCCAGCAGTTTCTTATCGCCGCCATTCTCATCGGTAGGGTAATCAGCGCGCAGCTGCTGGCCATACTGTACTGCCTCGGTGAGGAGCTGGTTGAACTGCGCGATGACCTCGGGTTCCTCGGTGTCCATGCCGTCCGCGAACCAGCCGTCGCCATCCCCGCCGTCGAGCTCCATCTCCTGATCGAAGACGGCATGCTCGTTCGAACTAGAGGCCGTCGAGCGGCGGCGCTTTGAGGCTGTGGCGGTTGCCGCGGAGAGTTCGTTGGACCGCCGCATCATTTCGAGGAATTTGCGGCATCGCAGTTTGAAGTGGATATGCGGGTGGTCTTCTAGGACGTTGGAGTAGTAGGCTTTGGTGTGCTTGAGGGCTTTGTCGATGTCGCCGTCTAGGATTGCGGAGCGGATTTCTATGAGGTGTCAGTGGGGACTTGGCGCTGGGAGTGTGGAGGTGTAGACTCACTGTTCCGGTTGATGGCTTCGCGGTCTTCCTCGACCTCATATTTCTTCAGTGGCTCGTTACGGCCATTCTGCAGGGCTAGCGTTTCGGTGGCAACCTCTTCTGCGAATGCACGGGCTGTATCTACGTAGCCGTCATGGGCGAGGAACTGTGCGACTAATTCTTGCAACAGTGTCGACTCGTCCAACGGTGGTTGGAGACCGGCTGTGGATGTTTTGTTAATATCTGATAGAACGTTGAATCTCTCTTGCTGGTGAGAGTTAGCATTACAATCTCCGAGTATATAATGCAGACAGCACTAACCTGGACCATGCCATCGATATCAAAAACGAAAGGCTCCTGTCCAAAGTTCGTCTTGAGATGTACTGGCGGTAGTTTCTTCATTCCGACGGACGGGAAAAGGTTCGTGTTGCGCAGATCGTTAAAGGCATTTCCTATCAAAAAATTAGCCTAACATACCCCCATTACAGTTTACACAGAAACATACCCAAGAAGACACCATTCTTAGTGAAGAATGCAGATCCTGTAGAGAAATTCACACCACACCCGACGGTATCGCCAGCACCAAAAGTCGGTCCATATGCTCGACCTTGTCCTTGACTCTCACCAAAGAATGACTTTCCATCATCGCCATGGTAAGCCCAGGATTCCGTCTCCCAACCGGGAAGTCTCTCGACGGACGCCTTGGGGCTAGAAAACCCAATACCGATCATGCTACAAACAAAGTCAGCACCGATAATCAATAGCCAACAAGCAGCTCATTCACATACCCCTCCTTCGGCTTCGACTCAATCTTGACTTCAAAGTAATAGATACCACACTGCGGCGGCATAGGGTAATCCGCGCGCAAGGCGGCAGCTTCATGGTCATGCTTGTGCATAGGACCAGTGTAGCGGACATCGAAGTTGTCATTAGACAGCTCCAGGCCGGAGAACTTGTCAACGGAGCTCCACTGACTGGGCAGGGGCATGAGAGGATCAGCCGGGGCAGGCGGTTCCTTCTCTATGATCTCATAGGTCATTCCCCGGTGTGACGGGGCGATGCGGGGAAGGTGGACATTACTAGAGGAGGCGGAGAGGGGAGGATTGGGGGCTGCGGATGAGGAGGCATCTCGGTGTTGGGCAGCGAGCTTAGCGCGATGGGCTGTCTCGAGACGGGCGATGTAGCGGGAGTTGCGGAGGTAGGATGGGGTGAGGAAGGCCGGGGCATCGGTGAGGCCTAGACCGTGCGGAAATTCGGCCGAACGTAGAAAGCCGGCATACTTGCGAGACCAGGGAGGGAGTGACTCTGTTGAACCTGTGTTTCTCCAGGCGGAGTTCATGTGCATGTCTGCGGCATCCACGCCGAACGGAGTCCGGTGGACTCGGCTGTCGGATGGGGGGTAGGAGATTGGGTTGGAGTCGTTAAGAAGATGTGAGAAGGAACTGGAGATTGGTGGGGAAAATGTGATGCCAGATACTACTGAAGCGTAGGAGGAGCGACGGATAGAGGAGATGGGCCCGTATGAGGTCGAAGCTCGAGCTCCACTGGATGGGGGGAAGGGAGCATCGGCCATGATATTCGCGGGTCGCCCCCCAAATGATGCCACAAAATCAAGGCCACCGTTTCTGCGTTCCTGTTTGTTTCCGGCTTTGAGTGTCCACAGTACTGATTTCGTTTGCTATTAAGTTGAGGGGTTCTGTATGTGCGTGGTAGTAAGTATTTGCCGTGGTGTGTGGAGAGAGAAACAACAAAGTGCGTGGTAGTTGGGATTACTGGGCAGAAAATGTGGAGATAAGATATGCTTGCGACAAATAATGTGTGGAAAGTACGATAAGGGTTAGAGATGCGTGGAAACAAGACGGGCAGAAGTGCGTGGAAAAGGTGACATTGCGTGACAAGTCCGAAAGCAGCAGATCTTACCATGTCGCTATTTCACTATTCTATTCAAAGAGAAATACCCAAGCGTCAGATGCGTTCTAAAATAAAAGAGACATGTATAGCCTAGACATAGCCAAAGAAGCCAGATCTTAGGGAAATCGCGAATCTCGGGGGCATAGACTGCGGGGGAAAAAGGAAGACGAAAAAGAGGGGAGAAGAGTATAATGTCACGAGCTGATGTGGACTGGTTTGGACATGCTCGGCTACTGTACTACTGGGAGTCGGGCAGACAAGGACTTTGACATGTATACTTGCAAGTACTAGGTACCTGTAAATAGCCCTATACGATCGAGTATAACCAAGTCGAGCGAAATTAACTGCGTTATGCTCCCAGAGCAAAAAGCCTTCCAGAAGATAAAAACATAGCTGATACCCAGCAAAAAAAAGAAGAAGAAAAGGGCTATAATACAGAACACACATACCGAGTGAAATAAGCCAGATTCCCGGCTGCATCCCGTGCGCAACATAAAAAAAAAAAATAAGCCCTTCATACAGAAAAGCCATTAGCCATAAACACTTTCCCTCCCCCAACGCCAAACCCTAGACCCGAACCCAAAGAAACAAAGAAAAGAAGACTCGCGAAATCTATAAGTACACGAAAAACCCATCCGAACTCGTCATGGTCATACTTAAGCTGTCATAGCAATGGCCGGCGAGGAGGGTTCCACTAGATGGGATGGAGCAGGGGTGACATCTCCATCCCCGGAATGACTCTTCTCACTAGGTACAGCACTGCTGCCATTGGCCGTGTCGGTGCCGGGGGCATGGAGCATAGTCTTTGAGTCGCTGTCACCACTTTCCAGTGCTGCGGACTTGTCATCGACCGAGTCGTCGGACTTGGACATACCGGGTGTGCGCCAGGAAGGGAGTTGCCACATAATGCCAGTGAAGCTGCGTAGCTGTAGGGGCTTTCGCTCCCACTTGCGACACGCAGCTCCGGTGCGATCTAGCGCGCGCAGACCGGCGTTGATGGCTCCCGTATTGGCTTTCGGTCCCAGGCGCTGTGCGGCTGGGATTTTCGTGGCATCACCTTCCTCACTAAGATAGATGATATGTTAGTTTTTATAATGTTTTTGTTTTGGCTGGCATTGTGCTGCATTGTAGGGTGTCAGGTTTGCTTACAGCCTGGGTTTCTTCTTGGGGCCAGGGCGTCCCCGTGACTTTGCGGTAGGGTCGGTTTGTTCTTTCGTTCTTTTGTTGCCGGGCTTGGGACCCGGAACACCCTTCCGACGCTGTGCATCGCTTGGAGTCGCCCCTGTGGCGGGCGTAGAATTGGCGTCGGCGTCGGATCCATTGTCGGCGGAAGATGGGCGGACGGTAGGGAGCTCGGCGGATGAGGCTGGAGAGGAGTTGTCGTTGGTTCTAATGTTAGGGGTATTATTTTGGCTCGACTTGATCTTCGGGCTAGCAAACTGTTGGAGGGCGTCCCCAGACAGCTTGAGAATCACCATCAAGGAGGAATTCTTAGCTCCAGCGCGGGAGCGACCATTTGGAGTGGCGGCGGGCATGATGGATGATGAGGGTGTAACGAGGTTGCGCGAGGGTACGGGTATGGTTGGAGAGTTGAGAGGGGAATTCTGACGGAAGTGTATTGAGGCAATTCACAACCGTGACGTGGTGTGTCTCTACCGCCCGTCTCTTATAGATGTAGTAGTATGTGTCGATCGCATAGTCCGATATGAGGAAGATGGGGGGTAGGAAGAGTAGGGGAAGGGGAACGGGGAAAAGGAACGGAAGGAAGTAAAAAAGGGATCGTGGACCCTCTCATCGTTAAGAAAAACTCATTCAATGAAGCACAGGGGGGATGTTGAAGGTGGACTTGGGCCTTGTACTGTCATTTTACAAATTTGCCCAGCCACTTCGAGACCAGGAAGAGCTGGATACATGATTGTGACAATACCATACCAGGTTACGATATACAGCTTCGTTTCTTTTCCTCTTCCTTTTATTCTTATTCTTCAATTCTAATTATTACACTATTAGATCTTCATCTTGAAGATCATATGTAGTTTCTCTTCCCTTACATAGAAGTCACCGACATTCTAAACCATTATACAAATACCCCAACCCTAACCCGTCGATGGATCTCATTCCATACCCGCTACGTCCCGAAAATAACTCACTGACCGCATGATGTCTCGAGAGATGCGCCTTTTGTCTTTTACATTTCCAAACACAAAAAAAAAACACATCTCTTTGAGATCCAAGTCCAGGTGGACCCGTTCTCAACAGATCTGGTGAGGGTATCACGAGTCTTCTCTCAACGGCATGGCCCCCGTCGCCACCTTCGGAAACTTGAACTTCGATTCTACGGGTGAACCAAAAAAGAATTTTGCCAAATTACGCGACGTTGCCAAGGGATCGTCCAGATAAGGCACAAAAATTACATTCATAGATACAATAGCTTGTAAATATACACTTAAGTCATCTAAACCATCTAACCCTAGTTTCAAAGTCTTACACCTGAAAAATCCAATCAATCACGCTTACTGTCACCATCAGCCTTGCGTCGTTCAACCACCTGTGCCACGGCACGTTGCACTTCAGGACTGGACCGCACCCCGCCGAGGATCAGCCCTTCCTTCATGCCCCGCCGGAGTGTCGACACGCTCTCACGGTCACCACGGAAAGGTGCTAAGCCCATCTGTAGCATCCGCGTCGCCTCGATATCCGTGCCGCGCGTCAACTGGATCAACTCCCCGATCCGCTGCAAGGTCTGCGGCGGTATCTTATCGCCTTTTCCATTGCTGGCAACTTTGGAGGAGGCCGGTGCGGCCTGCGAGATGAAAATGTGCAGCATGATGGAGGCGCGACGTGCTAGGGTCAGGATCTGGAAGGGGAGGAGATAGAATGAGTTCGTAGGCAGCCAAGCTTGTAGTGCGACGGGAAGGTATGTAGTAGGCATGAACACAGCCTGGGGGTGCGTAATCAAGCCGAGTTCGAGGGTCAGCATGGCAGCGAACGTGTAGAAGCGCCACTAATGACAAGTCAGCTTATGCAATTGAACCTCTTCCAATAATGTATACTCACGTAACGGCCCCAATTAGCCCACCACAGCCAGTTAAGGACAATCGTCGTGATAAACCCGCCGATATATTGAGGGACGACCGACTTGAGCAACGAGGTCATCAGGAAGTCGCGCATGGTCTTCTGCTCGCCCCATCCAAACATATCTGTCCCAAACCGATCATACGCAAATCGCTTCACCGGGTCCACCAATGTTTCCTGCGCCTGTCGAAGGTACAGGAAGTAGGCATCGGACCCGCCCTCCACCCCGACTTTATCGGGGTGATACTGAGCAGCGAGCCGGCGGAATCGTGACTTGATTGCGCGTTCATCGGCAAATGGCGACACGCCTAGGGCTTGGTAGTAATCGCCTGCAAGCTGTACCTGGTAGAAGGTCTCGTAGAGCGTGTAGAGGAGGTAGCTGGTGATCACGAAGACGAAGATACGGCGACGATGACGCTCGAACCGTGGAGTTTGAGGTTGTGGCTTGGGTTCACCAGCACGTATGGTGATTCCATAGTAGACACTTTGTAGGAATGATGTGGTATACTTGTTCATATCAGCTCCCATTCCACATGTTATATAGCTCCGTATCGCGCTCCACTTACATTGGGAAGAACAGCCCAACCGAGGAAAGGTAGAAGTGATGCCATGGCGAATAAATAAATTTCACCTGAATGTCAACTGCATCATATCAAAAAAGAAACGAGAAAAATAGAAGATAGATCCTGAAGTGCCACTTGGCGATTCCAATATGGACCCCAATAATCCTGGGGGGCCCATTTAACGCCCAGTCACCGCCCAGCCCCACCGCCTTCCCATCCCGTCATAGCAAAAGCCAAATGAAAAAAAAAAGTTCTCGACGCCGAAAGAAAAAAAAACGAAGCACTCCAATCCCTCCACATCGACACGACAAGCTCCGTGGAGCGCCCAAATTGCCTCCACGATGGCAATTGACGCAATGGAAATCGACAACCTGCCGCTGCGCACAGCGGACGCAGAGCGCAAGCGCAAATCCAAAAAGGACGCATCCGCATCACCATCCAAAAAGCGAAAGCAAACATCCTCAAAAGCAACTCCACACCAAGACCTCAATCCCGAGTCCCCCTTCACCCTCACAACAGCAACCCTCTACCTGCCCCTGTCGCCCATCTCCATCTCGCCGACGCACGCGCTGGCCTCGCTGCTGGCCGAGCACCTCTCGCCACTGCTCCTGACCTACTTCCCCCGCTGAAGGGCGTGGTCCTGGCTTACTCCAATGCCTCCATTTCCAGCAAGCCACCGGCAACTCTACGCACCTCTTCGGACTTGAACCCGCAGCCGCTCACACTCGCCACAACAGCGGATGAGTATGGTGTCTTGTACGTCTACCTGACCGCCACGTTCTTGGTGTTCCGTCCGAAGCGCGGACAAACACTTGAGGGATGGGTGAATGTGCAGTCGGAGGGATTCCTTGGTGCTGTCGTGTTCAACTTGTTCTCTGTCGGCGTTGAGCGCAAGCGTCTACCCTCGAACTGGAAGTGGGTCCCGCCTGGCGAGGATGCTGAGACGCCGGCTTTGACCGACGACGACTCGGGCTCTGATAAGGATGCGGCGGATTTCGACACCGAGAAGGAATGCTTCAAACCTACTACTCTCTCTGAGGGCGAAATCGCCATTGACGACGAGGAGGAGGAGTCCGCTCACACCGGTTATTTCCAGTCTGTTTCTGGACACCGCGTGCATGGCTCTGTGCGTTTCCGTGTTGTCGATGTGGATGTCATTCCCGGCTCTGAGCGGGATCGTGGTTTCCTTAGTATTGAGGGAACTATGCTTTCTGTTGAGGAGGAGGAAAGACTCCTTGAGGCTGAGCGCCAGGGTCAGTCTTTGCCTCCGTCGTTCTTCTCATCACCTAAAAAGATCTCTGGATCTATCCCCGTGATGGACGTCCCGGCGGCGTCGGTGGTGCAGGAGCTCTCGACTGTGGATGTGCATCTTGAGCCTAGCCCCAAGAAGGAGAAGGTGAAGAAGGAGAAGAAAGAGAAGAAGGACAAGACCGAAAAGAAGGAAAAGAAGTCCAAGTCTTCCAAGTCGAAGAGCAAGGACGAATAAATTCGCTCTGTATACATGTCTGCATGAGCACCGATATCATACATCACTGTTGACTACATCCTGGATGGGCGTTCCGGTTTGCTTGTTCTTATTTTCCGTTTCGAATGTGTATATGCCAATTGAACAAAAAACACTTCATTCCAAACTATTTCCAAACGACATAGCGATTAACTGCAAATCTCAAATCCCACCTAAACCTCAAGGGTCAAAACATCCGCACCGTCAACAATCTCTGCCTTTCCTGGCATCTTCCCAACCCTCATCAACTCCGAAGACTTCGTCATAACGGGATCAACCCCCATAGTAGCAACTGCCACAACGGTCTCCCCAGCCGTATAAAACGCAACGAACTTCCCCTCTCCTTTCTCTTGCAATATAACATCATCATACCCATTTACTGGATTTCCACAGTACCGCAGCTGTGCTCCAAGCGCGGACCAAAACACCGGAATAAACGCCTTATATTTCAAGGACGACAGTGGGCCACGCTGCGCATGCACAATCGCGCGCGCAGCCGCACGGCCCGCATTCTGCGCGACGTTCCAGTGCTCGATGCGGACTGGCGAGCCCGTAGCATCAGCGCCAGGGCCGTGGTAGGGGTATGTTGCTATATCACCGACAGCGAAGACAGAGTCTTGCAAGCCTGGGACGAGGAAGTGGGAGGATGTTTTGATAGAGCCGTCCTTTTCGAGGGTTATGGATTTGTTGTCGCGGAGGAAGTCCGTTGCTGGGCGGACACCCACGCCTAGGATGACCAGGTCGGCTGGGAGGGTCGTCCCGTCCTTTAGGTGGACTGCGCCGACGTTGTGGGTGTTTGACGGGGAGGCTGTTGCGTGGCTTACGTTTGCTGACAGGTTGAATTTGATGCCGGCTTTTTCTAGGTTTGATTGGAAGATGCGGCCGACTTGTGTACCCATTACGCGCTCCATTGGGGAGGATTCCATGCCTACTATTGTCACGTTGTGGGATTTGGAGAGCGCGTTGCCGACTTCCATGCCGATGAAGGAGCTGCCGATTACCACGATGTTTCTTTTCTCCGAGCCGGCGGCTGTGAGGGATTGACTGCACGTCTTGGATCGTGCGGAGGGTGAATATGTTGTTTAGTTCGCCTTTGAAGCCCTGGAGAGGGAGGGTGCGTGGGACACCGCCTGTTGCGAGGACTAGTTTGGTGTAAGAGATGTTCTGGCCGGATTTGGTGGAGATGGATTTCTGCTCAAAGTCCACGGCTGTCACTTCATCTGTGATGGTTTCTATGGCAGCTTCGGTGTACCACTCTCGTGGCCGCCATTGGATCTTGGCGGGGTCTGTGATTAGGGCTTTGGATAGCTTGGTCCGATCTATGATTAGGTCAGGCTCTTGGGAGATGATCGTAATCGCCCCAGGGTATTTTAGCTCCCGGAGGGCTTGGACAAGGCCAAGAGTTCCGCTTCCTCTGTTTGGTGTTAGTGTAGTCCAAGTATCTGTATGAGATATTCATAGCGATGAATTAAGAGAAGATTTTGACTTACCCTCCAACCACAACAACCTTTTCCTTCGGCTCTGACACACTGCATTTCACTACTGGATTGCGCTGTCCTGCTTTGACATCTTCTTCTTTGGCAAGGATGTATACGCCGCCTTCTTTTTCGAACACTTCGAATTTGTTCAACGCATTGGGGGCTGGGGCATCTTCGACATCACCGGTTGTGACATTGAAGCAGGCTATATAGTGTGTTAGCTCTTTCTTCTTTTCGTTCTCTTAAGGAATGAGAAACTCACCTCCATGCCAGGGACATGTAAGCCTCCCTTCTCCGGTAACGACGCCGTTCTTCAGCGGTGCTCCGTAATGGGAGCAACGCGGACTGAGGGCATGGACTTTGTCATCCAGCTTAATGAGAAGAACTTTCCCACCCTCAATGCCCTCGATTTCGGCTTCGATCTTATCTAGAGAGTTGAGGGATGCGAAGGACGAGATGTCTTTTAACTTGTATTCTTGAGACATTGTGGATAGATAGCGTTTGGATTGGATTGATTTGAATGGAGATGAATGGGTAGATGTTGAAGGGAAAGAAGAAGTCCAGAGTGAGCTGGATATGCGGGGTGAGGAAATATGGCGTAATGACGAGATGCAGTTACACCGCCGGGATAGTTGGATAGATGGCCACGTACTTAGACGGTACATGATTAGAAAGAGAAGAATAGAAGGACTTGGCTAAATAGATCGGCTTTTCTTGTTAGTTCAATCTACCGTAAATGCTTTTGAAGTGAAAATGGATGTTATACAACTACCATGACATCACTTTGTAGATGCCCAACCAATCACTGACAGGAGATTGTCACCAAAACTTGATCTGCAAAGAGGAATATGGAGATTCAGAATGATGTTGCATTAATCTTCAAGAATGTCCAGGAAATAAAAGAATGTGCAGTTCCTAGACGCCATCGCTCTGCGCCGTACATATACAGTAATCCAAATATTTTCAATAATCCATAACGCCATATTTCAGAACTTTCGCGACGAGCGCCTCTTCTTCTGGCTGGAAGGACTAATACTCACTTCCACCATACGTTGGAGTTTTCCTGTAGAAGCCCTGGATGGACGTCCAGACGAGCGAGGGGTGTTCTCACGTTGTGAGTTCCCATACCGTGCAGATTTGGAGCGCTCGGATGGGTTCGTATTAGAGTTGCTGGGTTCGGGTGATCCACGCGGGCTGGAAGTGAGGTCAATCACTTCGGATGCCTGGGAGGCGGGGATTTGGGAGGTGGGTTTGAATTCATGCACCCGCTGGGAGAATTTAGAGCGAGTAGATGCGGCGGGGGATTCCGTCTCAAATGGCGAAGGGAATGAGTTTTGTTTTTGAGACTGGGCATCCTGTTGGGCACTCATTGGTGGGAGCGGAGAGCGCGAGTTGGATGCCCGTGGGGAGTCAAGCGGCGAGAAATTGAGGTCCAGGTAGGAGTGCTGCAGACTGTCTTCCAACCGCTGGGGACTCTGATTGCCTTCACTGACGTTGTCTTCACTGACGTTGTCTTCACTGACGTTGTCTTCACTGACGTTGTCTTCACTGTTGTTGTCTTCGCTGGTGACGACTGACTCGCTTGGCTCCGATGGTCCATTTCTTAACCGGTTCAAAAGATCTCTCCATGATTCAGAAGAGCTGTTGGGAGTCGCACTGTGCTTTTCTCTCACCGTATCTCTTTTCACAAACAGAGAACTAGATGCACCACCATTACCGCTACGGTCAATGGTGGACAAAAGTGAACCGGACTGAGGACCGCTGTCCCCCGAATCGCCAGGCGGCATGAGAGGTCCAGCAACAACCTGGCGCTCATGCTCTTGATGATCAGACATTTCTTGGTCCTCAAGTTCATCCGCGAAGGATTGATTTGCAGAAGCGTATGATAACACGGAAGGATCCTCGTCCCGATTGACTAAAGCAGACGGCGTTTCTCCTCCGATCAGAGTATGGCCTTCAAGCTCGCGGCTGAGCTCAGCACCAGGGGTCGTTTGCTGCCAGGATCGAGCAGAGTGAAACCCATTGAAAGAAGGCGACGGGATGGGAGGGGTAACACTGCGCCCATCAGACCCAGTCTGGACTTGGATCTGCGGAAGGCCTCTACCAGGGGTTTGTTGGATAGGTTCATCGGGCGCTCCCGGGGATTCACTACGGGTCTCAAGATAGCTGACTTCATTTCCAATGGTGACAAAGGTTGTGTCGTCAAGGTACATTTCCTCAGATAGGGCTGGTTGGGCGTTCGGTACGGACTCGTGAACTACAGAGACACTTGGATATGTAAGCATGAGCCGTCGATCAGAGTTTATTTAACTGACATGCTACCTTCTCGAGTATTGTCCTGGTCCTCAGATTCGGCACCCGACTGTGCTGCGGGTTGGAGAAGCTTCGGGTCGCTAAGTTCCGCAAAGGCAAGCTCGCGATAGCCGTCATCCTCTCCCTCGTCATTGGCTAGGTCTGGTACTTCAAACTTGCTGAATTGACGGGGCTCATCATCCTCGCCGGATGCTGATGGGGGCCTTCGGTCTCGCTTGGCCAGCAGTACATTAATCACTCCATGGTCTTTCACAGAGCGCACCTCAGCTACTCGGTACTCAGACATTTGAGGCTGCCAGTTCGTAGCTTTGGACATGTCTAGCTGCCGGAATGCAATGATTGCGCCGACCTTCGCCTCGCTTTCAGTCAAATCAGGAATAGAACCGATGTCGGCGGGAACCGAAGGTAGGTCATCGAAGGTAGGGTTGGATGCTTGTTCAGGTTCAGGGGCATCGTCATAATTGATCTGATCTCCTTCAGCTTCGCCCGCATAATGACCTTCATAGTAGGGAGCAGCTTCGCCTTCCCAATGACCTTCATGATGGGGATCGGCTTCACCTTCGTAATAACCCTCGTGATTGGCTTGGTCATCTCCGCCTTGGTATTGGTCATCATGGCCGTAGTAATTCCCATTTTCGTCGTATTCCTCCTGCTCCTCATATTCTTCGTAGACCTGAACACGCTGCTTTCTCTTCCGCTTCTTATTAGGGCCCTTGAGCTCACGGATCAATGCATTGGCTTCTTGATCCCAACGTTGAACAAAAGGATAAGGAGGAGCGGTCATATCAACCTGGGGATAGAGACACTCGACAGCACGGATGACAAGCTTGTTTTGCCAATCAAGGTCGGATGCATCTTCATCCTCCTGCATCTGGTCGGTTTCCTCTTGGGCGTCTCGCGTAGAAACTTTGTTTCGGCGCCCGCATGCACTAGCTTTAGCAGCAAGCTTTCTCCGTGTTGCTTCTTCCTCTTCCTTGGTCTTCGGGGTTCGCATTCCCAGAGATCCAAATAGCATGCGTCGTGAGCTAGCTATGTCCAAGGTACGTCGGTTCGAAGGTTCCTGCTCCAGCTGATCCTCACCGGGCACTTCTTCTGAAACAGGGGTCTCTTCAACGGTAGTTGCAACAGGCGGGACATTTTCCTTCTCTGATGTCTCACCCACATCAACACCATGACCCGACGCAAGATCGCGAAGCAGTTTCTCGCGCCTGGCTTCAAACTCTTTCTTCTCCTGTTCTTTCTTTTCTCTCTTTTGCTTCTTGCTGGAAGACTCGGCAGATTCTTGCTCCGGTTCCACAGGTGGTTGGGGCTCCACAGGCAGCTGGGGTTTCACGAATGGCTCCGGGTGAAGATATTGTTCCGGAGTATGCCAGCCTCCGTGCTTGTCTTCCCACTCCCGCAATGCATCGAAACCTGCTTGTTGGGGGAGAGCGCCTAGCTCCTTGAGCTTGGATAGACGGCGGCGTAGTTTGATGCGGTTGTTACTCTTCTTGGTGCGTATGGATCCTTCACCAGGAGGGCCCACAGAAACTGGTTGCTGGACCTTTTCGACAGGCCGCGGGGGTTCCTCTTCGGAATCTGAGTCTGATGAATCCGAGTCTTCGGAGCTTGAGGATGAATCGGAATCAGAATCAGAATCAGATGGTGCCTCCGCCGCAGGCTCCACCTCGCTCGAAGAATCATCATCGTCGGAACCATTATCAGCATCGCTATCTGAAGAAGACGCAGATGAATCGGATGAATCAGAATCGGAAGTTTCAGCAGCACTTTCCTCAACGTGTGGGGCCTGCGGAGGTTGTGGGAGATCAGGCATATCCTCATCCTCCTGATCATGTCCCTTATTGAATCTCACAGCCTTGGAGGCCCTGGGAGATGAGTCTTCTGCACGAGACCGCTTGCTGGAAAGAGATGATGCAGCTGCAAGTGATCCTTTGGAAGTTGGTCGCTTGACTATGGACGCAGCACGCAGTGTATGTCCACTGGCATTCTGAGTCTGGTTCCGGATGTCAACAAATTGAGAAGCTTCTTCAAAGTCCTCTTTGAGCGCTTGGAGTTCGCTCTCCAACTCATCCTCCTCAATTCCAGGCATTTCAGACATATCCGCTTCACTATCAGATTCCGCGGTGTGGTCAACAGGATGGCGAATAACCGTGCCCAGGGACTCTTCATGCTCGGCGGGCATAATGGAAAGCTCCTTCCCGAACCCGGTGTTAGGAGGTGGAAGCCACTCTCCATCACCTTCCTCATCGGCATGGACTTCCTCAGGCACATACTCTCTAGCGTTCTCCCAGCCAGAAAAAACTGTGCGCCGTTTCTTCCTTGGGGGTATGGTAATCGCAGGTCGTGTAGATGTAGTTCTTTTCAAGAACGGTGATCCGAAAGGCACTCCGTCAATGAGATGCTTGCCCTCAGCAGTGATCTGGTGGCGACCACACAGCCGTCTGGTCCGAAGGTCTGCTAATTGAAGGGCACGGATGCTACAAAGGGATAAGTTAGTCCAGTATACGATATTAGGTCAGTTTGTAGATGCACATACACAACTTCGTCTCCATCTCGGAGCAAGCCGTCAACCTCCATAAAATGAAGACATTCCGAGCCAGCAACTTCGACAACATAATCTTCCAATCCCCACTGGCCACTGAACTCTGCATCAAAGACACTGGGTTCAGTCTCCAGAGGCACAACTTCATTCACATCCTCGAGGAGTTGTGCGACCGTGTACCCGCCATTAGAGAAGGCGATGTTTGGGGTGCGAGAAGATGCGACAGCTGCAGTCGATGCTGGGCGATGAGTCCCATATTCGCCTAGCACAGAGTTAGACGAAGTCGTCGTCCAGAGAATGCGCGTGACCGGCAGGCCATGGCGTGAGATAACAAGGTGGAGACGCATGGTGGATGGTCAGTCGCGAGCTAAATCATTGACGCGGTGAATGGACTTTTTCGTGTTGCTGTTGGGGGTTTCGAGTTGAGTACTCGGAGGTAATGTTTCGGTGCGGGGTTAATTCAGATCGTCCAAGCTGGTCTAGCAGATTCGATTAAGATTGTGTGAATAGGTGCCCATAGGGTTGGACATATGCTCGAGTGGAAGAGGAAAGCAACCGATCAGAGCTCAAATCGCGCGGAGAGCACGCTAGCCTTCTTGGGAATAGCGCACATCTTGTTAGTTGCCTTTTCCCTCATACTGGGCCAATGCGCACGATACATTGGTCTCATTGAATCGGGTTTATGTTTTAGAATAAATGTAGGTAAATAGACTATGCGTGTAACAGGTGTTTTAAGCAAGTACTGCACTAGATAAATTAAATTATAGATCTCTTAGACTTAAGACACTTAACGCCTCCATAGACCTATGATGTATTTCAACAAGAAAATAGCCTGGATAACACTTTTCAACACTGAAATTTGATGGGGGTATCGAGTTCGAAGATATCAATAATGCAGTTTCTTATGAGTAATGTTATTAGTGCTGGAATAATCACTGGCAATGCCATGAAGCTCCAATTAATTTCAGAACCGGACACTGGGCATGAGAGAGGAGAGTGAAACCAAACAGCCTATTGAACCCAATAGCGTCAAAGATCTGGACTGCGTGGAACTGGCTTCCGGTTAGGAACACCCAAGTTCATAGGACGAAGATTATTGCGTGAAGTTTGGCGTTGCACAACCTGGGGAGCGTTCAGGTGACTCCCCGCAAGAGGTTCATATTGCGGCGGGCTTTCTTCATCAACGGTGTTCCGAGGAATTTTCATCATGCTGGCTGGGCGTCTCACGGGGGATACAGGGGGCGATCCAGATTGGGATTCCGGCGGTGTGGTAGGTAGCATGTCGAAGGACTCTGAGGAAGCACGATTGCCTCGGCGGCGAGGCGCCGAGGATCCTTCTGCCGCGGGTCCATCCTCAAGCGCCTTACCCGGTTGGGCTGCGTACTTGGAATCAGCTCCAGATTCTACCGTGCTTTGTGATGAGGCGTCTGGTGGGTGATACTCGCGGCGTGGTCCATCCACTGGACTCAGGTGGTCTCCCATGGCATCCTCGTAACTGGGTGGTGCGTCATCATATACATCACCAGAATTGACGGGTACAGGCTCGCCGCTTGGCCGTGGTGGAATGGGTGGCCGGCTGCTTCCCACCTCTGCTGGCAAGCTGGGCTTGGGGTTCGGTTTAGAGGCTGATGGCTGAAGTGATGCGGCGGCCATTGCATCCAGGAGTGCCTGCGGTGGGGCGATTCCTGAGAATACTCTGACTGGCATCCGCAGGGGAAGAACGATAAGTTGAGACTATGTCATGGTCAACCAAGAGACAACTCTAGGGGTTGGCGATTCAACATACCTGCATTTCCCGGGCATTTCCATGAGTCAAGCCCACTCTAACTTCCAGCTCGTAGGATCTCTCAATGTTACATGTCTCAAAAGACGGTGCCACAGAGTTAGGCAAGGGATACTGATTCCACAGTTTTGGATCAATAGTCCAATCAGTGCCTACGGGGTCCTCTGGCTTGCCTAGCGGGATACTCATATTGCTGAGGCTCATAATAACCCATGAGCCGCTTTCAGTGCGGCTGAGATCATGGGCCAAAATTTTCGTGTAGGATATTAGTTCCACCTGCAACATCTGAAGGAAGATTACATCCGGTCCCTCGGTCAGCTTTTTAGCGAGGAGACGGAGGGGGACAGGTTCGTTGCAAGTGAGAATAGACGGGTTCGGGAGTCGAGCATCCACAGACACCCGAGGAGGCTCTGGATATGTCTCTTGGTGTGTAGAATGCCCCCGTGAGAAGATGCTCTTCTTCTTGGGCGGAACATGGGGTTTGTAAAATTGGTGTTGCCGCCTGGCATAGGTTTCCTCATTAGGATTCCCAACTCTTGGTGGCTCAATTGGAAGGAAATTCAGAGGCACGATCTGAGGAATCAATTAACGAGTGTGACAATGGCATATCATCTGAGCATATCACTTACCGATCTGATGTTTTCTTTGTAGAACTGCGGCCGGATGACTGTGGCCTTGACGAAGTATTTAATATCTGCTACGCCCGGGAACCCGCTTAAAGATGGCGGGAGAGTCTTTCTGACGTGTCGGTTGGTGTCTTTAGCTACCTCGACTTTCAACCCGGAAAAGTTTAGATTGGTGAGCATGCTGTTGGTAGTGCTGCAAGAATTATTGAAAGGGAACTAGTAGGATGTTAAAAGTGTCATGACTGCCATAGGTAAGACTCTTCACCTTGAATTCAAAAGGGTACTCATATGACCCTGCGGCAAATGTATATGAAGGTGCAGGAGATCCATTCTGCATCACACCCGGTGTTGGGAAGACGGTAGCAACCTTATACAAGATCTGCATTCGTTGGTTAACCAATGCTATGGCCAATATTCTATCCCATCGATAGGTATAATAAGCCACATCCTCTCACCTTGTGAACCTCAAGCTCCGTTCGCTTTTTGTCCGAGTGCACATTTTGGGGATTCTTAGGACCGGATAGACGAGTACGGCTCTCGCACTCCAGTTTGACCTGAATACCCCCAATAGCCGCTTCAGTTGGTAGCTGTAGCACAACCTTGCCCTTGAGGAAGTCCAGATTTGTATAATGGGTGTGGCGGCTGTCCAAGACGATATTTGCGGACATGGCGGCGGGCGCCCGGGCCCTAGCGGGGCTCTCTCTTCGGTTGGTTGCGGCGTTCGAAGGGTCGAATGGGGAAACACGATCGCTGGAAAATAATGCAATAAGGATAAAGCCCTCAGGAGATGCAAGAAATGTACGCCTTGGCACAAAAATATGTCGTGGGGGATGTGAGACGGGGGGGGATGCGGATTATATGCGAACGATCCCGGAATGACGTTTCGAGGGTTCGCAGGTCGACTGATTGCCAAGCAACATACAACTGCCACAGTCTCGCCCAGGCTCAGGGACTTTTGCAGGATTAAGGCTAGAGGGTTGGATTAGGCATATATGCTGCGCCTCAGTTACATCACAGCCACATTTTTGAGACAAAAGGGGGTCTATTCCCGCTAGCATCCAGAAACTATAAGTTCAACGGCTCTACGGCGTCCTCTATATCCTTTTCCATAGCTACTTGAATAGTAGATAAATTATTTCGAAATTTGATCTATTCTACTAAGTGATTTCACTATACAAAAAATATGTCCATAGATAGGCATGACGAAGGAAATACCCGGAATTTCCACTCCAGGCACCAGAATTTCCATATATCCGACCCACAGCAATCCACAACAGGGCTGAGGGAAATCCAAATATATCCGGGTCTATTTTCTCAAAGGCCCTCCTTTGCTAGCATGTCTAGTGAGCATGCTTATTAGTTTCAAGTAACCCCATCAGGCCGTAACACATACCTGCGATGTCCAAGTAAAATGCAATGGCATTAAACCTGCAAGAAGATCAGCCTAACTCCCAAAATAAAATCTACAGTCAACTAACTTTCGTTTGTTGCCTGTCACTTCTCCGACTAGCCACTTGAGCCGATTGGTCCAGTTGATCAAGTCCAGATGGCTCACGCCCATAAGGGTTCCTTTGTACCCTGCATCGCCTCCCCACCGGCTACTAGACACGCTGACTAGGCCGTCGTTGGGTCCTTCGATCTCCGCAAGTACTCGGTGTGAGAGCCGAAAGGCAGACCATATACTTGGATCCACTGCTGCTCCATAGGAGAAATACCTGGGGAATGTTAGCAGGGCGTAAAGTGGAGAGACTATGTGGCACTTACCTGACATCATCCACATCTGGGGTATTTGGATTGAAAGTCTCGGTCATGTATTTTCGTGTTAGTTGAGTGAATGCACCTGTCTCGACATTTAGTCGATTAAGGGCATAATAGATCTGAGGTAGGCGATCGGCTGCACAGAACAACAAATGTTATCTTCTAAGTTACCTCAGTAACTGAGTGAGTAGTGACAAACCTCCAATTTGGTCAATTACATAGTCCGCCACAGATGAGCCTGCTAGATAGTCAGCAGGGAAACGAATAAAAAGTTATTATGTGCCAGACCTCGATGCGGAGACGCGATGGTGGTCAGTGACAAGACTTTGAACTTCTCTGGTCGTATGCAACTAATCATATATCGCGAATCAAGACCACTTTGCAAGCCATTAGCTTGTGCTGTGTAGTGTGGTCCTCTTGTTATGTCTCACCCCTAATCACAAATAAGCATCAACACTATCGCAATCATTGACGGGTCTCACCATGCTATGCCTATACAGAAATTAGTTAGAATATGTCGATACATGTAATCAGGAAACGAAGGTAACATACGCAATGATATTAACATCTTTCCCTCGAGCCCCGGCCTCGATATTTCGGGCTAATTGTTCAGCCCGCTCTTCAATAGAGCCTGATGGAGGCACTGTCGCCGTGATAACTTCAATTCCTCGCGCTGTCAATGCCTCTTTAATTCCACGCCAGTACTGAACACCGGGGAGATATGGACCAGCAAGACGCAGTTCATCAAACCCGAGCAAGCCATGGGCGAGCACGACAGGGTATTTTGGTGCAGCTAATATCAAGTCAGCAGTTGGCCACACGATTCAGGTCAAAAGGTACAAACTATATTTATCACGGATGATTGAGTACTCATCGACAATTACTTTGCCGTGGTCCTCTAACCGCGGTTCGAGACTTGGTCTGGGTCTGCATGGAGACTCATGATACCACCTGTTGTTAAAGTGGCATACAGTCTGGCCGTATGAGTAGCAGGCGACTGAAGGCCGTTTGAGTGCATTCGGAGTACGAATTGCATATTTCATTTTCCTGCCTCGTCTGCAGATGGGTTGTCGAATGAGATCCGGCGCGGAATGACGCAATGGGAAAATAGGTTTGATGCCTCAGGCCAAAAGCTGAACTACAATACCTCAGCCAACTGCGTACATGTCTTCTTCCACAAAGAGTGTAGTCTATGGAAAGGGAAAGAGATGTGTACTCAGCTGACTCATCTGACAGGACTACAGTATGATGATCATCTTTTTTGTGCGGGGAGAATCCAAAACAATAATCAGTATTTCCAAGGTCTACTAACAGACAAATCTCAAACGCTGGAGGCCATTCAACGAACAATTTAGGGCCAGAAGTATTCATGTCAAATATGCCTTTCAACCTTCTTGTAAGATGCCTCGGGAGTCACAGTTCTGTACAAGTCACCGCGGTTGCTGAAAACAGTCTTCAGAATCCGATATCCGCACCCGTTGAGGACGAACCCACGCCCAGCGACCAATTTGGAAAGGTGGAGGACGCGCGTTGAACCCGTACGCAGAAAACTTGCGCACTCATCCTGCTGGGTGGTCGAAACTGCGAAGACGACCTGCCATCCACACCGGCCTTCCTGGCCAATATTCGTATGTTCGAAAACTGCCCTCTATATCGAAGCACAAACTTGACCATGCTGCCGAGACACGATACCAGCCATGTAGAGCTAATTGTTGGAATGCTTCCAACATCTCAAAGGGGCTCGTGCGTATCCAATAGCGACTATAGCCACACTGTGCGCTTAGAATATCGCCCTGGGAATCAGCTCGAAATTGGACTATAAGCACACCTTCTGAATCAAACACAAAGAATTGAGGGCAGTCGTAATGGTGGGCGCATCTATTTTTTGACGGAGGGGATTAGTTAGTATGAGACGCTCAAGGGGTGCTCGAACAAGTGAATATTAAATACCTCCTCATCTCTTGTAGCAGTTCTGTGGTGGGTTGTCCCCACTCCTTCCCTCCAATCCATTCTTCGACCGCAATGTCGCTAGGTTTCCTAAGCAATCATATCATTAGGTCCCTTTGCACGCACCGATGTGAACCGCCACACTGAAACACTCGGCCACACTGAAACAGTAGGTAGCATATTCCCAAGTCCATAGATCCCCATGGCTTGATTGGCCTCTTCATATCTGACTGTAGATAAGGTCCACCGTCGAATAGATGGCGAATTAAAGGCTCGTAGTACCGGTAGAACTCCCATATGGCCTGCTTGTCGGTAGGCTGCCATAGGGTAGACCTTTCTATCTCGACCGACATTTCTCGGAAGAGATATTTAGATGCAGAGTTCAAGATAACTAGAAAAAGAAGTAGACTGGAGGTAATGATTCTTACGATAAAGCCGCTGGTATCTGGAGGAAACTAACGTCCCAAAGGCTTTTTGTACCTTATTGAGACCATAGCTCCCGAGAGCCTCATTTCTTGCCTTCAGAAACGTTACATTGTGGATATAACGGACAAGCACGCTACTTGTGGTGCTTGCACAGCCGCTCTCTCACATCGCAGCAATTGTGACCATTCGATGGGATAACGTAGTCAAGGCATACTCCAAGGCTGTTGCGACGAGACAGAAGCTGCAGCAATAGCGAGAACTGTAATTGTCTTTTCTTGTGTCGCGATTGCCTGCCCTGAGGGCCATCGAACTGCTGAAGGAAGGGAGTGGCCCAGGATGAAGACACGTAGGACGAGGTGGCTTTTTGGAATATGACATTCCAGTAAGTCTGAAATGCTCCAGTATCGAATGAACCCCGATATCCTTTTATAATAAGAGGCAATTGATATAGCCTGGTAACGGATCTGAGTGGAGGAGACGCCCCTTAAAACCAACAGTCACTCGTTGCCCTGAGATCCGTTCAACAGGGGTGAGATGAGTGCTGGCACTTTATCAGGGATTCAGACAGCGCAGTGAATCATCCTGCGCCACTCGTTGCCGTCTCCTTGTATCGAGTAAGAACAGGCACGGGGTCGGGGATGTGTTATTTGGCGTAATGGACTGGTGATATATATGAAGTTCGCCAAAGCATAGCCCTCTATAATAGACTGAGAGTAATCTGGGTCAGTAAGGATAAATGGCTGTGATGTGGTTATCAATACAGAGACTTGCAGCAGATCGAAAAGCCTAGATTCAAGTCAGGCCTCCAGGAGCACCACCATGGGATAGGAATACGAGGTGCGTTTCCAAAATGAGCGATCCAGACTCCATCCACGTCATATACACAAGGTTAAACCAAAAAGAAATTGATATTGTCCGACAATTGGATATCGATGAACAGACGCGCAAGCGCATTCACGCTAGGAAAGAAAAGATAACCCAGAATATCTACATTATGCCTTGATCTTCTCAGACGCCTCGGGCTTGACGTCGGTCGTCACGCGAATGAGGTCTGCGACCACCTTGTCGCCCTGCTTCTTGCCAGCGTCCTTGATCTCCTGGAGCTTGACCTGGGCTTCCTTGTCGGCCTCCTCCTCGGATACCTTGTATCCGCTTGAGTGCTAATGGGACCAGTCAGCTTAGCTCTGTGGATACCTCTTCTTGTGACCGCCGTTTAGCAGCTGTATCTCACCTCGCCCTCGAACTTCTTGTACTCCTCTTCCTTCTGGTTCTTGTATTCCTCGATCTCCTTCTGGGCCTCTGACTTGGCGTCTCTTATCCGCTGAGTACGGTCTGTATAGTTGCGACATAATTAGTTCAATGGAGCGAATGTTGACAGGTAAGTTTGAATTGCGTACACTCTCTGGCTAAATGTAATGTGACGTATTAGTGTCCGTGATAGGCAGCTATGAGGGGTAAACATGAGTTCGACTTACCTTTCTGCACAATCTTCTGGGCCTCTCTCTCGGCCTGATAGTTCCGTGGTTAGTATCTCCATGCTGTGCCCAACATACAACCAAGACCTACATCGAGGAGGGTCTGAATGCCCGCGGAGTTCTGAGCCGACTGTTGTTCACTGTTAGCAGCTGGCCACCAATCACGAGATAGATTGCTCACCATATTTGCTAGAAACCTCTCAGCTTTGGAAATAGGGTAGAAGGAAAATACGGCTGGACAGGGACGATTAAACGGCGAGTCTGGAGCTCCGAGCCCAGGTCGATCGGAGCCACGCATCGCCCCCCAGAGCGGTGGGGGTTCTGCCATCAAACGCCGCCCGGTGATCGATAAACTGATAATCCCGGACTCGTGTTAAGTAACAGCTAACATACCAAAACATTGTTTGTGGCCATTATCTGCTAAATCTCTGGTCGAGCCGTGCTCTCACTTATTCTGCCATGTCTCGCGCATCAAAATTCACACTGGCAGCCACTGGCCTCGGCACAATGGGTATTGTCTGGTTTGTCCACTGGGCCCAAGAGGCGGATAGAGCGGTATGTTACAGCTTCGGTTCTCTATTTCGGGTATATACTGATTTTGTCGAATGGCAGGCTATGCACAAAGGAGTTGAACGCGATATGGAAAAGCAGCGTGTCCGACTAGAACGCCAGGCCGACTTTGAAATGCAAAAGGCCCTCGAGCAGGAATACCTTAAGCTCCAGACGGTACACAGCACCACCGGCGATTCAAATACAACCAGTCAGAACACGAGTCCGGGGTCATAATGCAGGTATCTGATTGTGGGTATCATGCTGCATATTTATGCGTGATCCAGTTTGCGATTCCGTTTGGGTGCGCTCTGGCTATACCAGTGAATTCAATGGCGGCCAGGTCGCCGATGCATGGGAACAAGGAGTTAAAGTTGTTTGAATATGCAATGTTGTACAAATATTTGAAACTTGTGGTGTGTAATATACCTCATCTGTACCATATAACATGAAATCGTCTCTCTGCCAGTTTGGGTGTTGTCTTGCCGATCTCTTATAGTCAATGCTGTAGTTTCTAAGTTATCTGGGTTGTTCTGTGATCCTAAACGGGGCTTGGTGACTGATAAGATATACACCAAATGGGGCGACAATAATCGGATGTTCTGTTATGATCTTTTGGCCTACAATATAACATGGGGCCATGCAGTATAGAGGGTTAGATGCTTTTATACAGCCTATCAGGTGCCGCCGTTAGTCGCAGGAATGATTCTTTGGAGATCTGGAAATATTGCTTCTTATAATCAAATATACCCTGAATACCCACCACACTGAAGTTGTTCCTGCACATCACTGTTGCGGGCTTCATACGTGCCATGTGGGAAGTGGGCCGTACCCGCACGCAACACAGCTCATTTTCATGGGATCTAGAATAAATGGGCTTTTACTTACTTAGTAAAATAACTAAACTAGTATCTATTTATAAATTGAGTTAATTGTACATTATTCGTTGTTATGGATTAGATGTGGTCGAGTGCCGAAAACGGCATTCCCAATCCGGAAGTATGAATTCATACAACTCAAGAGCCTCCAATCAAACATTTCAATTCTGAATCTAGCAATAATCTCATATTGCAAGGAAACATTTTTTTTTCATCTTCCATCTATTATGAAAAGCCTGGCACCTACGTGGTGATGTCGGCCATGATTTCAAACCCAATAGCATTCAAACAACGGCCCTTCTACAGTATCCTGATAGTTATATCAGTGATATGCGCTTTTTGGGCCACAGCCAGATCCTACCAAGCCTTTTATATCCAGGATTCAGATGATGATGTTCCTAGCAACAAGTTGCAAAGAATCGCCAAGGTGTCCATGCTATACGGAGAGACGAACCATATGTATGAAAGAGCGCTGCAAAGCCATGAACGCCACGGAAAACGATGGGGCTACCCCATGCACATCCTGCGACAGGATATCTCGATCGGATTTTGGAATAAACCGAGCTACCTGCTATCCTTGGTGATCAATGAAATGGCTAAGCCAGCCGGCGAGAGAATGGAGTGGTTGATGTATGTCTTGTCTTGCCTTATATTTTATTGAACAATACTGACTCTTGCAGGTGGGTAGACGCAGACTCGATTATACTGAACAATGACATTCCCGTGGAAATCTTCCTTCCGCCATCAGACCTGAAAGATATCCACCTGGTGGCAACCCAGGACCAAAACGGCCTCAATACGGGAATCATGTTCCTCCATGTTCATCCTTGGATAATCAGTTTCCTTACCGAAACATTGGGCTACCCTCTTTATCTCCCCAGGATTGACCTCGGTCGATCTGCCGACCAGGAAAGCATGCGACGTGTGCTCAACAAAACGACGGGAGGTCCAAGCGGACAGGGTTATGCAGATGGAGTCTCCTATCTACCACGACCATGGATCAACACCTATGAGTGGGACTGGGCCTATGAAGGCAAAAGGGGGGATCTGCTCGTGCACTTCCCGGGTCTGGAGGAGCGCCGATGGCCGCATATGGCTAAATGGTTGAATATTGTCGAGACGACTCCTCGGGAGTGGAACTTGCCTCTTGAGGAGACTGGGTATCTCAACAAGACGGCAATGTACTGGTCGCAGATGCGAAGTGCGAAGGAAAGTATCAAGTCTGCAGAGAAGAAACTGAAGTCTGGGGAGGCAGTGTCTGGAAATACCAATGAGACAATCAGTGCACTCAGGAATACATTGCGTGAGAAGTCAGACAATATGGAGCTGGTACAGCAACAGACCCAGGATCTCAATTTGTTGATTGGAATGGCATAGGCTTTTGTTGAAGGTGGGAGACATAATTCGTTATGGGCTTGTTCAGACTGTCTCATTTGATAAATATATCAAAATCTATGTCGATATAACTACTCTTAATTTCTTACTAAATTTTATACCAAGTAATTAAGACTTTATTCAGTTTATATCGATATATTTATTCTCTTCATATCAAGTTCAAAGCTTGAAGTCTGTGCTATCAAACACCACTATATACACCAACCCCAAGCCCTACAGCTCATGAGACGACTCGTCAATAGACAGCGGGCCTTTCTTGACCATGATAGTGAGGACTTCATATAGTACATCAGCAGCAGCCCTGTAGAATAGTCAGTCTTTGTCTAGTATGTCGTCAATTTTCAAAGAACCTTACATCGTCGATAACTCCGCATTGGTATCATAAGCCGGTGCGACCTCAACAATATCCGCACCGATAAAGTTCAGCCCATCAAGACCACGAATGATCGTCCGTAGCTCGCGCGTAGACCAACCGCCAGTCTCTGGTGTGCCCGTAGCCGGCGCAACTGTGGTCTATACTTAGCAACAGTGACATAGTATCCCAACTCAAGACTCACAAGCAGGATCCAAAGTATCAATATCAATAGAAAGATAAACCGGGTTCTCGGTGCCAACACGGTCCCGAATCTTCTTGATAATACCGTCCGTTCCTAAAGATTTCAATCGTAAGCACGGAAACAACCCAAACAGCAAGATACCATACCAATAACATCAATCTCCCTCGCCTCGACAATCTCAAACCCGCAATACCCATCATTCTCATAATCCGAAGGACCCGACAATGTCGTCCGAATACCAGCATGAATATTCGTGTCATTCTTCAACAAGCCCTCCATAGCCGCATGGTAAAAGTATGTACCGTGGTTAATAGCAGCAACCTGACTAGGCGAGCCACCAAAGACCTTCGGCTTCCACGAGTCCCTAATCAAATCAGCCATGGACATACTAGCATTAAAGTAAGGAAATGTCCTCACAAATGACTATCGAAATGGATAACCGTCACAGGCCCATAAGCCTTATTAATACTCCGCAGCAGGGGCAGTGTGATGGTATGGTCACCACCAAGGGTAATGACACGAGGAAGGGTCTTTCCAGCGCGCGAAAGACCCGGTCTATCTGCATCAGTATACGGCTTGCGCATCATGATACTATTGTGTCCTTCTTCGATTTGTTGAATTGCATAGGTGTTGTCGTATCTGTAACGGGGTCAGCTTTGTCGAGCTCTATTCACACTGGTGGTGTCCTTTCAACGCAAACCTACGAAGTAACAGGTACATCGCCACAATCCAAAATCCGCAGCTCGCTTGTAAACGGGTTTGCTTGCAAGGGAACATTATAGCCACCACTAGATCGGAATTTGGTGAATCTTGTATTCATACCGTGCTTGTAAATATCGCTGCTCGATAGGACTGGTACGTACTAGAGATTGAGACGGCGGGAACCTTGTCTGATACCGCTGGGCCCGAACCTCGCTCCAGGTCTGTAAGAGGTTCCGGTATCGAAAGGGGCACCTGTTCAATTGGGGAATTGTAAGTAGCGATTTCATATCGTCATCTTGATGGGACTTTATACTAACCTAGGAACGCGATATCGTATTTCTCGGCATCACTGGCCAGACATGGGAAGTAGGGCAGGCGGCCGAAAGTTGAGATCCCGGAGAATACGGAGTCGGCCTTTTTTGTTTTGTGAGATGAGTCCTCTTGAATTCAGTCTGCTTGATATAAGAGGGCACTCACCTGAGTGCCGCCATCTCCTGGGAGTGTGTTGTACCAGAGTGATTGGTGCGGACCAGCGAGTTGAGAACCAGCGAGTTGAGACTGGCTATGATCTCCATGGGCTGTAACCAGAGCAGAGAGGGCCAGCAAGCCCACAACAGAGGGGATCATTGTGATACTGGACAGAAAGGATTTTATCGAATAGGATTGGAAAGCGTTAGAGTGATTGTTACTTGTTGAATCAGAGCAGTTACATGGGACATCGTTCAGGATATAAGTATGTCATTTCTTTCAATGTATTCTCAACTTTGAATATCTATAACAATTTGATGTCATTCAGTGTAACCAGTCAGCTTTCCCTGCGATAGTATCCACTCCCAAAATTGCCCCGATATAGACACGATTGACAACCCGCCAATCCCTTCTATCTGGGCCCACCAACTAAACAGCCGAGTGAATATCGAGAAGAGAAAACAAGAAGAAAAGAAACTATCATTTTTTCAATGCAGGCAGTGTTTTCCCATCTCACTCCCAGTAACTTCCCTTTAAGGAATGGCAGGATAATCCGGGTGGAGAATGCGCTGTCGAGGCTTGGCCACGGCATACATATATGCAAGGTAGAGCAGTGCCTGGGTCCTAAAATGGAAGGCCGGGGGAGAGAAAGACGTGAAACGAATGTTAAAATTGGGGAAGATAGGAGATCGGTTTAGGGCTAAAAGGTTACCTAATGAATGTCGCGCCTTATCAGTCGTTCATCATTGGTTGTCGATCTATAAAATCTACATTGGGCTTTGATTCCGACAACGGAGGACAATATGAATGTATAGTATTCTCTATTGTTATTTTGTATTGATGTATTGGCTAAGAAAGGTATCTAAGATATCTTGGCCAGGTGGGTAGGTCTACTTTGTAGCGAAAGAGATAGAGCGTAGAACAGGGCTTTTAGCAACAATGAAACTCTTGTCCAATTTGCAAACATACTTTTCCTAATTATGTGCGTATACAATGTACACATCCTAGCTAAACTTGAGCTGGAGTTGGTGATATAGGTCCCTGCCCAAAGGAGATATACATGTTCGTCCACTACCCATCTCCATGAAGTAAAATGCATAGTTAGTTATACTCTTAACAGATTATATAAGCGATAGCATTCAGGATTTGGTAGTTATCAGTTTTATCATATCCTTAAAAGGTCAAAATACAGGCAGAAACAAATCTACTCCACCACCCCATCCTCCAAAACCTCATGCACATCCATGCGCTGGAAGGCCTTGCGCACCTCAGTATCCCACTGACTTCGCGCAACAATAATCCATTCAAGCGCTCCAACCAAATACAGGGCAATACACTGCCCAACCCACAGACCCTTGAGTCCCCAACCATGAAATGCAAGCCAGATACCCAACGGCAACGCACCACAGTAATAGCTCACCGAATTAACCAGAGCACCCACATGCTGCCGTCCCATTCCACGCAAACTACCCCCACAGCTCCCATTAAGCCCATCGGCAATCTGGAAAAGCGCCACATAAGGCAGCACCTCAGCCGTAAGATTCACAACGCTAGTATCGTCATTAAACATCTTCGCAAAATGCTCTCGCGTCCCCATAAGAACAGCTAGAACGACGCCACCGAAAGCCATACTGAGCAGGGCAGAGGTATGCGCCGCCCGTGCAGCGCCGGTATCATCCCTCTTCCCGAGAAGATTGCCGACGCGGCCGGATGTCGCGACCCCAATACCGAAAGGAATCGTGTTGAGAATTTGGTCGGCAGTCATGATGACACTTTGGGCAGCCAGCGAGACAGTGCCCAGGCGGCCGGCTGCTAAAGCGACGATCTCGAAAGCCCACCATTCTGTGCCAACGTGGACAATGCCCAGAATAGCGAGCCGGGTGAATGTGTGCAGGTTGTGAAACGCTTCGCGGGACCATCCACCCCAGCACTCTGAGCCACTGATGAAGCGCGCGTAGAGGACAAGCAGGGCAAAGGAGAGCCAGTAGCAGAGACCAGTTGCTAGAGGGGCACCTAAGAGGCCGATCTCGAACGTGTAGCAAAATATATAGTTGAGAGCGGCACTCAAGGGTGATGTAATCAACAACACATATGTTCCGGCTCGCATGATGCCTTTACCATGGTAAGCCTCTATATATCTGAATATAACTCCCACGGAAACATACCTTGAGCCTGTAAGTACTTCTTCATAACCTCAAAATAGATATATCCCAAACCTCCGGGAATCAAACAAGTCAAGAACCTCGCACTATCTCTTGAAAGTTGCGAATCCTGACCAAGGAACAAGAAAACCGGTTCTGAAAACGCCCACAGAACAGCAACGGGTACATAAAAAAGACCCAGAACAAGAAACCCTCGCTGCAACAGGATCCCCAGATCATGTTTGTTGGAGCTGCCCGTGAACGAGGAGGAGGCGAGCGTATCCATAGCCGTTGTACCTCCCAGAGCAATCATCCACGCCGTTACCATGGCAAACATCTGCGAGAATGCACTCGCTGCGAGATTCTCTGGTGACGAGCGACCGATTATGAGCACGGATACGGTCTGCAGGCTGTTTTGCAGGGTGTAGGCTAGAATTACGGGGGTCGAGTCTTTCAGCAAGAGCCAGAATTCGGCGAGTATGAGAGCTCGTGAAAATGGGTCTTCGCTTCTTTCGGGGTTCCCGCATGGTTCATTATCGAAGGGTTTGGAGAGGAGGGAGGTGTACTCGGTTGGTAGGTGCGTTGGGCTCCCGTTACTGATGCCTTTGTGCATGGTGACTGATTTGAGACGAGATCTAACTATCTCTTGTTGACTCTATCTCTGGCTTCAATGGGTCGAGTTGTTGAACTGAGCTGCGCAACGTGATGTGACCGGTTTTTGAAAGTTCGATTTCCACTTAAGCAAGGGAGTTGGAAGAAGCAAAAACTCTTTCTTTCAGAAAAAAATGCCTTTTATTCGGAAATTATGAAAGATTTTAAGTGTACTATGGCCGATGTGGAGCCTACAAGGTTGTATAGTATTATCGTGAATTCCTGATACTTCGTGATACAGCAAGTCCTCTGACTGCGTATTCAACAAAAAATACATATTTAGTTCAATGGAGGCAATTAGAGCAGTCAGTTCTTTGAATCATGTATCTTTGCTCCACTGACATGCCTTTTGGCCGTGTATCCTAAGTTCAAGTCCGATCTCGGACATCTAGATGCAGCGGCGACTTGGTACGGCATGTACCAACTGAACATGCCGGAGCCACGTTGCGGTGGCTTCAATTTGGCAATGACTTTGAATAGGTCGGTCTAGTCTTGATATCCAATATTATGTCAGGATATCTACCGGGTAGGTTGATGGCTCTTATCTGTGATGGCGGGGAGATCAGCCCTAGCGTCCTCTCCTAACCCCAAAATGGAAGTTGACTAGAGAGGCATACTTTTTCGTTCTCAAAAGGACCGTTGAACATAGCTTTGATAACACCATGATAGTGTCATTTTTATGACTGTTCGTGATGTTATCGTCTCCAATGCTGATCGGATATGCCGCAATTGTGCAATGGCGGGTGAATTTGGTGAATTTGGTGCATTTCATGTAATGTATTAAAATGTATTAAGAGACTTTTAAACCACACATGGGTGATTAGTGCCAAGTTTCTTCATTTTGACGACTTCAGTTGCTATAGTCGTGTAAATGGTTACTTGGAGCATATTGTGGCGTAGAGGGTGGAGTGTCCCAGAGATTCTATTCTAGAATCCCAAGCGTCGGAAAATAAACTGACGCCTTAATTTCCTTTCAACTATTATTGCGACCAATGCCAGATCGAATCCCTTATCTTTTATATTATCATATCCTCCTACAAGTTGATTGGTGCTTTCGGACAACCCGTGGACGTCCTTATACCCCTGTCACTTTCATGGCGGGGGCTTATGCGGCAATGAGTCCCGGCGCTTATAGAATGACATTTTTAAGGGTCTATTTACGTAGAAAATCAAGAAAGTAAAGGATCCACAATATATACCACTGTTTATACTTCGAACTGAAGACAGCATGACTTGTAGATAATCAAAATCAGAATTAAACCCTTGAAGACTTCGTGAATGCAATAGATGATAATAGTATACTACATGAGTGCATTGATACTTAAAGGCTTGACGGAATGATCCAAAGCGCACTCTATAAAATCCCGACAAACCTAATGCAATCCTTATCAGCTATGCTCTTGAGTCAAAAGTTTCGACACGGCAGCAAGACCAATAGACTGCGATTGCTCAGTTACAACAAATGCTACTAAATAATTGCCACTTCGGATCTATGTCTCTTATATAGCTTTCATACCCGAATCAATGCACTGAACAGATCTTCTATTATAATCAATATCATAGTCGTGCGCCATCATTAGTCATTTTCACGGGAAGCTCTATAAAATGGAAACTTCATCAGGAGGCCTTGATAGAAAACGGGAGATGCCAGAAAAAGACATCAAACATGACGACTTTGATCAAACCCATACTCCCATCGGCCAAGGCACCCAAGTCCTCTACAGTGCAGCGGTCAACAAACACGGGATCAGACTTCACCCACAACCAACTGCAGACTCGTTAGACCCATTGAACTGGTCAAGATTCCAAAAACATGTCATACTATCCATTGTTATGTTCAAGTAGGTACCAGATCAACCCGCCTTTCTCGTCAGTTGGCTTCGCAATTTGCAGAGCCTGAACACTAATTCACATCTCTTGCTACCTTACTGACATGTCATTACTTGTTGACAGATATTTCCTATTCACATACCTCACGACTACTACTGTTCCCTCATTCACGGAAATCCAAGACCAGTACCAGATCAACTACTCGCAAGTCAACTGGACAGTCGCCGTACCTGCACTAGGGTTATCCGTCGGACCCTTGATATGGTCATCACTTGGTGATATCTATGGTCGAAGAACGGTATTCCTAGTTGGAACAGTCATATCCCTAGTCTCAACTATTGGCGCTGCTGTCGCTGATACATATTCGGGGTATATGGCTGCTCGCTTCTTCCAAGGATTTGGAGTGAGCCCAGCTTCTACAGTCGGGATGGCAGTCGGTATGTCTAATTTATACCCCGCAGACAGTGTTGTATATCTGACACGAACCTGGTAAAGTGAACGATTTATTCTTTGATTATGAGCGTGGCCAGAAACTTGGGCTGTGGGTTCTAGCGATTGATGCAGGGTTATTTCTAGGTCCAACTTGTAAGTTTATTCGGACATCTTTCCACACATATAAGCCGCATACTGAGAGAGGTTCAAGTTGGCGGATTTTTGGATCTTGTCAGTGCCGCATGGATCAATTGGTTCAATGCAATCCTCTTCGCCGCACTACTACTCCTCGAGCTTTTTTTCATGCCAGAAACCCTCTATCCCCGCAACAAGATGCTTCAGCAAATGCCCCGACTTGATGGCCACAACTCCCTGTCTGGTGATGTCGAGAAGCATATAGCAGGGGTTGGCAATACACCAATATCTCCAGCAGAGACGTTGTCATCAGAGCTACGCCGGACCAAGAACCTGCCTTTCATTAACTGGCGCCCTATCCCCGGCATGCGGCATCCCAAGCCGTGGGACTCTATCACTCGGTTTGTGTTGACGTTCCAGCTACCTGCAGTCGCCATCGCAATTATCGGATACTGCTTTGTCTGGTATTGGTGGGTGCTATCCGTGATTACGATGGTACCTGCAGCTTATTCGAGCTACACCCCTCTCGTTCAGGGATTATTGTTCCTCGGGCTGTTTCTTGGAACTGTGATTTCGGAGATAGGGTGTTCCGGGCGATTGAGTGATTTTATTGTCGAGAGATTGTCCAGGAAGAATGGCAATATCCGCGTTCCGGAGATGCGGTTGTGGTTGGCGTACCCAGCTATATTGATCACCACTGGTATGCTTTACCTTTCAGATCCAGTATGTGAGTGTAACTGACGGGTGGTATAATATAGCTGGGTTAATTGTCTGGGGGGTTAGCATCGACAAGAACTACCACTGGATGGTAGGCCAGGTAGCGTTCTTTCTATGTGAGTTCTCTCTTCCGTATATATAGCATCCGCCTCGGAACTGACAGCTCTCTAGTTGCAGCGGGTATCCAGATCGGAAATACGGTAACCAGCAGCTACATCGTTGACTGCTATCCTTTACAAACAACTAGCGTGATTACTTTCTATGCTGTGTTTCTGAACCTGAGCGCTTTCATCAATCCTGTATGTTCCCGGATATATGATCTACCTAATGAGTTGTCTAACTGACTTCTGCTTGGTAAACAGTTCTTTATTGCATCGTGGCAAGCGTCTTCTGGTTGGACATGGACGTTCACTGTTCAGGGACTTATTACACTTGCTGGCGGGTGTATTGTATTTGGGGTTTTACATAAATTTGGGGCTTGGATGCGCTCAAAAGCACCACAGCCGTCATGGGTCAATCCGGAGTTTGATATGGAGCCTTAAGTTGACATGGTTGATCTCTGGCGCTATACGTCGACTGACTTTCTCATGGTATTTTATGTTAGCCACATGGAATTAGAATTTGAATTATAAAGAAACTTTCTGTTGAAGGGATCTTCACTGGCATTGTATGAGATGAGAGATGGGAAAAGACCTAGGGAGTAAATTCTCTGTCAAACGGGTCTCATACAAGAAACTTGGTATTTGTTACGGACCAGTGCTAAAATACACTGTATTTTCCCCACATTTCTCCCAACACGTGATTGATTGCAGAACTTCGACGGTTCCAGACTCCTGACAAGAAGTCTCTTATATATCCAGTACTTCAGTCTAAATGAATCGCGAAAGCTCTCCCCGACTATAAAGAGCTATTTCTGAGGTCACAGGAAGAAAAAAGACAGACAACCTTCATTGAACTCCTCCGAACCTGCCATGAATTGCTTTCTCAGCCCTTGCAAGTCAGAACTCCGTCGCGTTCTACCCAAGGGACGATCCCACTACCCCGGGGGAAGTACTATCCTACAAGACTTGATCAATGGGAAGACTGTCATGTAGCGCAGCAAAATATATATAATTCAGTTTGCAACCACCTTCAGTAGACTTCCGCACCGGCCCACAAAGCCTAAAGCCCAACCTAACCCAACCCGTAAATGGGTTGCCAACGGCTTTGGGCCCGGTCCTCGGGCCTATAGTGAAAGCCTATAGGGCTTTAATAGGGGCCCATTTTCCCCCAAACAATACAAATATGCTAAGTTGAACCCCCTCTTTAGGTTATTTGAATTACTCTATGTTTAGTATCGTTTCTAAGCCTTATCCCTAATGTAATATTATATTAGTTTAAATGATCTAGAACAAATTACTAGTTATTTCTCCAAATCATATTTAAAAACACGAAAAATTCGTTCATTTATAATTTTAAAAAATTATAGAGGTTCTCTAGAAAATGGTGGTACTCCCGTATAAATCGTAAATATATATCTAACATTAAAATATCAACTTTCACATTTTCTGTAATATCTTAACTTCTACCGATCGGATTTTATTTAAAATTAAAATGTATACTTATATAGCTAATATAAGCCTAGATTCTGAATTTGAACTTTATAAGACTAGTAAGAGGTCGTGATATAGCGATTATAGAGGCTGGTAAGATGGGCTTTTATAGGGGCCTATAAGGCCCCTATTGTTGGGCTATGAGTTGGGTTGGGTTTCGAAGGCCGGGCCCATTTGTGGGCTTTGCGGAAGTCTAACCTTTAGGCAGACAGCGAGCATCTATACCGACTATTCTGGTCTGTGACGGACCTTAGAGGCGTTGCCAAATCATTGGACGTTCTACACTTCGAAGACGAATTGGTAACATACGAAAAACTTGGCGTTGAAAATCATGTGCGCAATATCATCTCAGAGCTATGTAGTCGACCCGAGGCTCGGCAGCATTTCAGACTTGGTAAGGGGGTCTCCTTTGAGAGTCATACCAATAGCTTTGAAGCTGGTCCTCGGGATGATCCATCGCAGCGACCGAGGCCTGATCGGTTTTGCATCCACCACAAATTAGATGGTAGTAGTGACGTGCTTATGACTGTCGAATATAAGCCACCTCACAAGCTCACCGTGGAGAACTCAGAGTGGGCTTGCGGCCAATGAATTTCAGGGATGAAGTAGCCCAATGAGAATCTATTCCTACAGACAAAGCATCAAAACTGCAATACAATGCAGAACAGATGGTCGGGGCAGTTCTTGTTCAGGAATATCACGTTATGATTTGTGAAGGGCTTGAATACTCATATGTGACTACCAGACTTGCGTTAGTCCTTCTTTGTGTACCGCTCGAAACCCCTGATACCTTATTATATTTTCTGTGTGAGCCCAATATGGAGATGCAGGACGATTTTAACTATCGACAACCGAGTACAGCTATCGCTCGAATTCTCTGTCTGGCATTGATGAGCTGTCAATCCCATGTCCGCAATAATGCCTGGCGAAAGCAGGCTAAATCCAAACTACACACATGGGCAACCAGCTTTACTCTTGTACGGTCACAGATCCCCGAGATCGAGTTACAGCAGACCCCATCAGGTTCAGAATACACAAGCTCTGACTACGCACCGTCGTCATCTCCTCTGCAATCACCCACGCCCAAGGCTCGAGCACAGCTTGAAAGTGGATGTGCGCCTTCACAGAACACCAAACATCGTCCAGATTCGGACTCGGACTCGGATTCGAGCCTGGGAGCGCCTGAACCTAGACGAAAGCGAAATCTTAGCCAGGCCACATCATCCCCTCCTGTCCCATCGTCGCGGTCGAGAGGTTTTCGTCATAACCCTGGAGATCAGCCCCAACAACATACAAGGCAGTTTTGTACCCAAAGGTGCTTGCTTGGGCTTCAGCAGAATGGGATCCTAGATAAGAATTGTCCGGATGTGGCTTTACATACAAGAGGCCGAAGTGACAAACATCCGATCACGGCGCCTGATTTTCTTCGCCAGCTCAACCAGCAATTGGATACAGATATCGATCAACATTGCACACCACTCAACAAGTGCGGGTCATATGGGGCATCTTTCAAGATCACATGTGCCGCCTATGGCTACACAGTCGTGGGGAAAGGGACTACAACGCACCTCTGGCCCCAGGTTTCTCGTGAAATAGAGGTGTATCGTGTTCTTCAAAGAGCCCAGGGGTCGGCGATCCCTGTGTTCCTTGGCCCAATCGATCTAAATATGAGTTACTTCCTCCACAGAGCTGGTGAGATTTGACACATGCTACTTATGGGGTGGGGAGGCGAGACTATTAATAGTATAGAGCATTCTGCAGAACTGCAAAAGCAGATTTGATGCTCTAGGAAAGAAATAAACTCTCTAGGGGTGATGCACGGGGATCTTCGTTTAGACAACCTGCTGTGGAATGAGGAGCTGCAGCGTGTTCTGATCATCGACTTCCACCGTTTGCAATTGAACTATGAACTGAAGAGACGGCAGGTTCGATCAAAGAAGAGGAATTCAGCGGAAGCAGGGTCGGAACCCTGGAAATCTATTCGGATGGCCTTTTAGTCAATGGTACACTATATGTCTTGAAATCAACACCGGAAACGATGATTAGATGAATGCGTGCTTTAGTTATATTAAATAAAAAGCGGCAAGAGGTGAGCACTAAAATGGAAGGACAGAGGAAATCTGGTAGGTATTCCCCCGAGGTCCACCTGGGCATACTACTTCAACATTATGTCATTTTCAATCTTCGCTATGTGCTATGCCAAATCTACAGATTATAACTCCATTTGAAATGCATCTACCTCCATGCGCCCAAGGTCAGGACTCATGTTTCCTCGCCGAATCACCGCCATCTTTATCTCGAGTCTGATGGTGTGTGCGCTCTATTTGGTCTACTCCTACTTGAACAGTGTATTTATTGATCAGCCATCCCAGTACGAGCCCACCCAAACAAAACAGTGTAATTGAACACTAATTTTGCTACAGGAAATACATCCGAAGGACTGTTGAAAGCTTCTCACACTCCACGGTCCACGAACTATACAACCCCTACATACACCCCATTACAAGAACAATATTTATTGGACACACAGGGAAAGAATTTTGGCTGGCGGAACCCTTGAGATTCACTGAGCCATTAGGAAAGAAGATTCTCATTTTGGACGTCGACAGTCGCAATCTTGATGGCCCTAAGGGACTTCTGAGCAAGGCTCCATTGAACGCGACCGGAATCCCCCCAGATACCAGTGGTAGGCTCAACCACTTCATGTTCGGTAAATAGTCACACTGGTATTTGTTTTTATTTTGTGGCTGACGAGCGTAGCAATGATTCACGGCTACGACTACCGACTAGTTCAGATCCCCAGGGCAATCGGGCGAACTGGAACATGGACCAAAGTCACTGCGATCAAAGAAGCGTTGAAAAACTACGAATACGTTGTATTCATAGACGCAGATGCCATGATTCTCTACCCCAATCTACCTCTGGAATGGCTCTTCAACTACTGGGAGATCATTCCGGAGACTTTAGTTGCTATGGCGCTCGATCCAGAAGCACCCCATAACCATGATTGGAACGGTCGCACATTTCTCAACACCGGCTTTATTATTGCCCAGCAGAGCCCACGTACACATGAACTCTTTGAAGCGTGGGAGACTTGTCCCACCGAAACGCGCTATCCAGACTGCGCGAGGTGGGGTCGGGAATGGCCACATGAGCAATCTGCATTTGGGAACCATGTTAGGTATGATTTCAACAGATCCGAAGATATTCGGGTCTTGTCTTGTGCAGAGGCAAATGGGTGCCCTGAGGTCGCATCTACCGGGTGTGTTGGGGAGTTTGTCAGGCACTATTGGGGTGACAAGATATCGCTGCCGGCTGCTGTGGGGGATGCGGTCTTGCAATACTTTTTGTCGCAGTTGCATGGGGTTTTCTATCACAATGCTAAATCTGTGGTGGTGAATAGGACTGAGCGTGCATTTGCGTGAAAATATATGGAAGGGAACGATAGATTTTGAGATTGTCAACCATGGAGAACGTTTGCATTTAGTCGCATAGTAAGTCGCATGGTATATAACATATAGAGGGGTCACTACATAGACTATGTACTTTGGGCGAGCAAATGTACTATAGGTTCTTTTGTTCACTTCCAATATTTACCTGAAGATGTACAAGTGCGACTTCAAGTTTTCCTGATAGCACAATAGAAATTCTAGAGATATGAAGCTGTTAATAGGTCAAATTTCGCTTTATCTCGGGACTTTCTATAGTCACACACAAGGTATCACTCAAGTCATACCAATTTAGCGGTTCTATATCAAAACTTCCCGACACATACAAGGCCGGCTACTCTCGGAGGCCGGTAGCATTCCGGCCTCCGAACGCTAGGGAAGTTAAACTTGGACTTATCGTCCAATTAAAAGACGGGATCTGGGGATCATCGCTTGGCGGCGCATGGACTATAAGGCATACATCATGACTTGAGTAGACTACATTGATCATTTATCCGTAATAGTTCATCATTGAATGGTCAATTTCTTCGTTATAAGCATTTTAATTATCTAACTTGGCGTACGCCACCACAAATTTCTATCAAATCTCAGATAAAGCAGTCAAATCGCCGTTTAAAGCTCATGCTGTATCGGGACTAGCGCCACCCCGTGACCGTCCTCTGCCCTCTCTCACTGGGCAATTGTATAGTTCATCTGGGTGTTGAGATGGTGGTCAAAATATGTTATTCTGGCTGAACATACTCATATAAAGTACCTCGAATGTCATTTAGGATAGATAAACCCAATTTTCATCATGCAGCACCGGATGTCACCGGGCCCACGCTATCTCCTATTCTCTTTCGTAATGAGGACTTGAGGCCGGAATTGTTACCGGCCTCAAAGTATTATAAGAATCTGCTCCTCACCCGCCCAAAATCTCAAAGTATCAGTTCTCCTTTCATCTCTCAAGGTCTTCTGGCTGCTTCCTCATCTTTTTTTTACCCATTTCTTCTACTTCCCAGGCTCTTGACTTGGCCTTTGCCTTTTACAACTATACGCTTCCATCCCCTTTATCCATACACCCATATATCATAGACTTATAGTCTATTTTCCCATTTGGTTCATCTCATACCATCATGACTCGAACCAATGTGCCCTATCCCTCTCCCACTACCCTGAAGCGGTTCCCTCATATTCATGATGACCCTTCATCCATCTCCCACTCCCTAGACCCTTTCACCATCACCACCAAGACAGGCTTCTTGCCCTATGAGACCGCTCCTGTTGAGCTGCCAGAGTCCTTCAGTGCCCTGCTGTCGCTGGTCAATCGTCTCCCTGTCGTCAGGCTCGATGGCAAGCCCGGTCTCTTGGCTAGCTATGAGCTTGGCCCTGCTGTCAAGGCCGAGCTCACTGACCTGACTGATGAGGTTGAAAAGCTGGTTCTCGCCGATGGCTCGCATGATCGCTTTACTATTGCTGCCATCTTCCGGGACTATACCTTCCTAGCCTCGTCTTACCTGCTCGAGCCTTGCTGGGAGCACTGGAACAATGACCCGGAGGGTGGCTATGGACTTGGCCGCGATGTCCTGCCCCAGTCTGTTGCTCGTCCTATGTATCGCTGTGCTGAGATGTAAGTCTTCTATCTTCTTACCCTTCTCTATCTACTTCTCCATCTGGCTCATTTTGATACAAATCTTGATCATATAGCACCGCAACTAACAATCATCCCTAGCCTAAACCTACCACCTTTCATGTCATATGCTGCTTCTTATGCTCTGTTCAACTACACCGTCGCCGACCCTGCGAAGGGTCTGAGCGAGTACTCAAACCTTCGTCTGATTCGCTCCTTCGAGAAAGGTCTCGACCCCAAGAGCTCCGAGGCAGGCTTCATCCTGACTCACGTCGACATGGTCAAGGAGACCGGCCCGCTCATCAGCGGTGTCTTGAAGATTGTTGATTCCCTCGAGCAGCATGGCTCCCGACAGGAAATCAACGATGGATTCCGAGAGATCCTCAAGTCGATGGAGAAAATCGAAGCATCTATGGAAGGTATGCAACCCTAATTATTCCAATAATCCCATCATCACGAACTTCCAAGCTGACAACAAAATAGATATGTGGGGCAACTCCAAGCCATCGGAATACCTCTCCTTCCGCGTCTTCATCTTCGGCATCACCAACCAATCCATGTTCCCGAACGGTGTGGTCTATGAAGGCTGCGAAGACAACAAGCCCCTCTACTTCCGCGGCGAGAGCGGTGCCAACGACAGCATCGTAAGCAATCCAATCCAAAACATGACCCCAAAAAGAACAAACCCAACTAACCGCACCCCAGATCCCCCTCCTAGATCACCTTTGCGAAATTCCCATGCCCGAAACTCCTCTCACCAAAATTCTCCACGAATTCCGCGCCTATCGCCCCCTCCCACACCGCGAATTCCTAACCTACATCCGCGAAAAGTCCGAGGAAATCGGCGTCCAGAAATACGCTATCCAAGACTCCGAGACTGCAGTCCTCTTCCTGCGCACGCTGAACCACATCCGCAGTTTCCGCTGGCGACACTGGCTGTTCGCCCGCGAGTACATCATTCGTCGCACACCCCATCCCACTGCTACTGGTGGTAGTCCAATTGTAACCGTGAGTGAAGTCCGATATCTCTGCTGTGGTCGATGTGCTGATTGTTTTGGTATTCTAGTGGCTTCCAAACCAGCTCTCCGCTGTTATGGAGCTCATGGTCAAGATCTATGATGATAATCTTGCGCCCAAGGATGGTGTGGCTATCGTCGATGGTAAGGAGGATCTTGTTGCCTCGCACAGAAAGCAGGTTGAGCCTATGATGGAGCTTGTGCGTGATCAGAAGGAGAAGTTAGCTAGGGAGGTTGAGAGGTGGTGTCAGGAACGGGGGGTTTAGATTGCTGGTCTGTTTCTGAGTTCTGGCTTTATTTTATTCGCTTTAGATTGTGGGATCCACTAGGTGCAAGACCTTGCTATCTTCTGTTCTCGTGCGTGTAACTGTCGGTATCTGAGGTTATCTTGAGTATTTACCAATTCAAGCCGATGTTTCAGTTTCGCTAGGCTCAAGCTCTATTCTCATTTTCTAAGTACGAAATCCCAATTGCAGGATTGTGATTCTTGGGTACCAAGCTCGGGAGTTTGACTTCTATGTTTTGCATCAGCTGATGCCCATGCAGGGGTCTGTGCTAGATCGCATTTTCTTTCCCAAGACGGACTAATAACCCGCAAGGCTACGATACATCCAAACATTTAAAATAATATAGATGAACAAGGCAGTCTCGATTTTGAATTTGTCTTCGTGTCATACACCAGGTATGTTTGATCATATCTCATTGTATTGTCTCATTGTATTGTACAAAGGTGATGCCCCAGGAAATTTCCTACCATCAAACGCCAAAGAAAAATAGCCAAATATCGCTGCGAAGCCCTTAGGTGACAATCTGAAGTCCTTTTTGCCGTCCATAGTCAATAGCATCACGAGACACACCGTCACATCCTTTTATGACCAAGCCCTCGAGATTTGGGCCGGGTAATTCATCATTCCGGGCATCCGCGAACATGCGAATGGCACAGCCGGTAATTCTCGTCTGCGACAAGTCGAGAATTCTCACGTTTGGCAATACTGCCCACAGTTTTCCAACATTTCCATCGTCCAGGCCAGTCATGCCGGCGGCTCCCACTTCAGTTAATCCTTTCAATCCTGGATTCGCTCCTTCGGGGTCGAGGAGGAGACGAATGAAGTTTTCACTATGGATGTTGTGGCAAAGGTTCACGTGAAGGGTTCGGAGAGGAGCCTTAGAATGATGTAGGAACATCGAGAGCGTGGAGTGGTTGACCCATGGGGTGTCATGGAATACTAGGGTCTTCAGGTTTGGGAGTCCATGATCTCCCGGTAACATAAAATTCCCAACGCGAGGAGGATCGATGGACCCTGAAAGCAAGCGTAGGCTCTCGAGGCTGGTTGGAAGGATTGAATAAAAAGTATTCAGGACAGCTGCGCCCCAAAGTTCTAGTGTACGGAGCGGGGGAAGATGCTGCTCTTCCTGCACCGGATCAAACCGGTATGATCGTGGTCGCACGGGGTCGCAGAGCAGCCGAAATTCCTCTAGATTGGGATATGCAGACTGAATTATGTTAGCACAAGTACTGGATACCAAACCCAGAAAAGTCTTACCGATCCCAACCCTGGAATTACATCCGGGAAGCTCAAGACTTGGGGATTTTCTTGTCGAGACGCAATCGTCAGGCTCTTCATGTTTGGAAGATGCTGAGGCCACGTCGACGTGGGTCGGGGCCTTCCGGTAGGAATATCCCAAACATGGAAAAACACTGCTTTCTCAAGTTTCGAGAGGGTGGATAGAATACTCCCAACGCATGCGTGCGAAAGGCTGATATTTGCTCCACACACGATACTCTTCAGTTGTCGAAAGCTTTTGACTTTTAGGTAAAATTCTTTGGGCTGGTCGTGGGGAATCATCAACTCCAGGTGTTCCAGGGCGGTGCATCTGCTTAACATGTTGAGCACCTTAGGCGTAGTAGAGGGAACAATATTTGCAATGGTGGCATTTGTCAGCTGCGCTCGCGATCGATGGATGTAGTTTCGGACAGATGTCCAAGGTACACGAGACCTAGCTCCGGTGAGGTCAACATGCATCCAGAGGCTGGACAGACCGTTTAGGAATCCGTTCCATCCTTTGCAGACGCGTAGGATCGCCCTATATGTTGGAATGAGCTAGTGGATTTCAGAAGTGAGGATTGGACACTTACACGATCTGCTTGAAGGGAAAGCCTTGAAGCGTGAGTATGGCGATCTCTAGTGGCAGGACCGTAAATGGGTCGCGCCTGGTTCCCCCTGCCAGCCTATCCTGCAGTTTCTTGAGCAACTGTGTGAGGACCTGGACATAGTTAGTAAGGGGAAAATAAGGAAAAGTGAGAGAGGAAACCGTAAAGCAGAAATAAGAGGATAAGGACATATAGCAAA